CAGACAGTTAGAGAGGATTGTTTAAAAAAAAAAAAAAAAGCTTCAGTGTTTCTGTCATTCTTTTTTCCTCCCTTCTCTGTTTTTGCTATTAAAAGTCACTATTGCCCTTTGTTCTTTGAGCAACAGTTGTCTGGACAGTTTGGAGTAGTAGTTTCATGTGTTAAACTTTCCTAGTAAATGGCTTGTAACAACATGTAACAATGGATCCTGAGGGTTTTTTTGTTTGTTTCTTATGGACACTGCACTGGTGTCCTGACCATGCCTTATGCTGTTGTGCAAGAAATTAAACTGCCCGACTGCATTCCTGGAGTCTTGGTCTCTCTTTCTTCATTCAGTATTTTTTAATCTCTGGTTGTAACTGCCCTAGGTGTGGAGTAACCTCTCCACTGCATACCTCTTGATCATGTTTGAATGCACCATATTGTAATTCTCAAGCCTTTGGCAGACTTCTTGGGCATCTTTTACCAAGCACTGAGTCTTCTGAGTTGTATCCTACCTGCGGGATATGGGTGCACAGTCATTATCTTTATTGCTAACACCCACAACATGGGCTGGGACGAACATGCTGTGAGGCACCAGTCTGCTCTCCTGCCCCAGCACAGCCATCCAGCAGGTCTGCTGGCCACACAGTCATCATTCAGGTGGGGAAGGGCTGGTGTCTGCTGTTCTTTTCAATGGGCTGATCCTTGACATCACTGAGCCGCTGTCTTCCTCCTCTCTGCTTCTTCTTTGTCTTGTCGTATCAGGACTTTATTTTTCTGGATCATTGTTGAGTTCATTTCTTTATTATAAACCACTGCTAACTGGTATCAGCTCAGCAATCTTGCTGGGTTCTGGCTTTGTTTTTACTTTATCTTGCAGCCTCTCATAGCCTACATGCTCTCGCACTCTCAGGCGGTGATAACTACAGCTCACCGTATTTCCCTTGGTAAAACAGGCTTGTGCATCACAATATTTTCTTGTTCTTATCTTGCAAGTTCAGGATACGTACTAGTTGTGAAAGATGCCCTAGGACACCCTCTGGCAGTGAGAGTCTGCATCACCCGCTCGGTCTGAACACAGACACTGTGAAAAGATCTCTTTACAACTTCTGCTATTTAATCCCATCATGCAGTATAGAGGCACTTTGAAGGTATGGTGTCCCACCAAAATAAATGGTGACGCTTTTGGAGAGAACCATCCAATACTGAATTTATGGCCAAAGAAGCTTTGGTATTTTTAAAAGAAATCCTGTTAGGTAGTACGGAATCACAAATGTATCAAGTCAGTTGTATGGGGGCATCCTCAACACAAGCTGGTTAAAAGAAAGGTAAGAGGGAGGAACAATTCATTAACCCAACGGAAATTTTGGTGCTTAGATTCTGCTAATTTTAATGAAACCTGGATGTGCTGAACTCTCAGGTGGTTTGGGGAATACTTCAACCTGCAAGATCAGACTGTTCTTCAGAACAGGACCAAGAAAGGGTAGCAGTTGTGTGCGCTATGGAGTTTATTATCAGATTACTCTGCACATGAATGTGAGAGGCACACCTGCCTGGGTCATCCCTGAGGGCTGTGGACTCCAGAGATGGCGAGCCAGTCAAATACATCCTCAGCTGTGGTGCATGCTAACAAAAGTATATACTATCTCATCTTGCACCAGCTTTTGGCTTTCATCAGGTTCCTCAAAGAAATGTTACAACCTGCTAACCCATGAAAAAGTGGATAGTCTTCTGCCAAGTTAGAGACCTGAGCCAGCTTGTGGTACAATGCTGAGGGGACAGGAGCCAATGAAGGAAGGGAGGAGTTGAGATAGGGCAGGACTGTGGGAATGGGAATGGGAATGTGTTGGACAGAAGGAAGACCATCTCACCAAGGCAGTGCTAGTCCTGTAGCTTGGTGCAGCTGCCCTTAAGAATGCAGCCTAGGTCATTTATAAGTGAGATGACTGGGTGCTCAAGACAGTTCTTGTGCTCGATCAAGTGTTTGCATCTACAAATGAGCATTCAGGTAGCTAATAAAGATGTGGCAATTCACTGTGGCAATTGGAGTGCTGTATTTACACAAAAAGCTGCCTTTAGTAGAGCACGGTGTTTGCTCATCTAACCTTGTGTCCCATCTCGGCCATACCAGTTATTTGTTGCTTTGGAGAAAATACTCCTTGAGGGTTGAGGCAGGACAGCAGAAAGAAATAAAGCTGCCCTGTTACTTAGCCACATTCTTCCCAAGAACATGCAGGCAACATTGTTTTGTCTCAAGTCCCTTAGCAGAGAGCCTGAGGAGAGATTTCACAATCATAAAAATGTAATTAGCCCTCAGGGCTTTGGGGAAATATAATTTCTTTTACCTTATCTCCTTATTGGGGGGAGAGGGGAGAAGGGGAGGTTATTATATCTGAAAATAAAACATATGGCTCTGTCATTTATAAAAGTCTTTTTTAGATAAGATTGTAGAGAAGTCCCTCTCTTCTGCCTTATAGACAGCATTCATGCCATGAGAAATGGTAGATAGCAAGCACAACATGTTTTCCACAGCGTGCAGTCTCTGCTAACAAAAACGAGTAGCTGTGATACTAGTGGTTGAGAGCTATGTTATGCTTTTAGGCTGTTTTTGTTTTAGATAACCACTGAAGCTGTTTAGGATTTGGGGACTGTTCAGACAACAGTGACTTGGTGCCTCTCTCCACTGTCTCCTGCGAGAGCTTTGTCGGCAGAAGGGCTCCATTAACCTGGGAGGCGAGGGCTACTGCATCCACAGAGTGAGTCAGGCATGTGGATGTACTGGCTCATCTTTTGTTAAGACTTCATAGCTTTTACCAAGAACCCTGGGGTGATGGGAAGAAGTGCACTTTACCCTCCAGCTGTCTGGGAAGTCTGTTGTAGGTATAAAAAATTTCTTCTATCCTGGGAAATGTAGGGAGAGACCCATCCTTGCAAGTAATCCCAAAGTCATACACACTTTGTGTTAGCCCCTCCCCCCCTCATCTCAGCTGCTAGCCCCAACCCAAATCTGTCCATCCTGCTGCGATGTCCATCTGCTGAGGGTGACTGGGAACAGTAAGAACACTTGCCACAGTTGTGTCTTCTGCGGCTACTTGGAATAATCCCTCTGAGTCTTCTTTTTTCTCCTTTACCCTCACTTAGGTGCAAGATATCCTTCTGAGCGGGCAAAGATGTTTGAAAGAGGAACAGAAAAGCAGTCCTGTTTTGTTCCTTTTATCAGCCTACTCTCTTTTTATTAAATTTAGTATTTTCACATTTTTGGTATACATTTTTTTTTAAATTTTTCCAAACTGACAAGTTTTGGGGTCATGTAAGTCAAGTCTTGGCCCCATTGAAATCAATATCAAGATTTCCACTTTTCACAGGAGATCCGTTCTAGACACTGGCACCCTCCTTGTGAGTCTTCCACCTGGGAAGACTGATTTCTGCTTTTCTGTCCTGAGAAGGAGCTTGGCATAAGAACACAGTTGGAAGATGTGCCAGATACTCAGCTGGTCGGTCACCCCATCACAGAGCAGTCTAAAGAGTGAAGTCTGAAGAGAATGCATGACCCATAAATAACAGGCACAAAATGAAGAAATACATACTATAAATACATACTATAAATAATAACTGTGGGCGTTGTGCATTTTTCAGGGCTGTAACATACTTGCAGGTTTTAGATGTTTTGTAACATGTACCAGCAAGTCCCTCAGTGCTGGCTTAGACTCCTTATATACTTCATACGTAACAGTTACATGACATGTTTTCCTGCTCCCGTAAATCAAGTGCTTGTCAGTAATAGCTTGAATTGGTTGTGTTTTGCCTTCCTCATTGTTGTAGCAGTGTTTACAAGAGGTGTGCGTGTTACCAAGGTCTGCCAGAGAAGCTTTTGGGAAAACTCTCTTAGGGCAGCCAAGACTAGCGCAACCACTGTTTGAATAATTGTTTGTGTGTTTTGGTTTGGTTTTGTTTTGTTTTTCTAGATTGGCTGCCAACACAAAGAACCAAGGGAAATAATTCCGAGTAAAATTTCAGGGTTTTTTTTTCCTTGACAAATTAAAAATAGAAATATTTCATTTCACCAAACCTCTGAAGTGTTTCATTTTGGTCATTAAGAAAAGCAAGGGAAATGAAGGGTTAGACTTCAAAGAAAGTGCCTGGGGGCAGTTCCCATTCAGTGGCTCAGGGAGTGGAGCCCTCATTCAGGATGGAGGAGACCCTGCTCCAATTCTTTCCTCTGCTGGAGAGGATTTGAACATGCTTGTCTTGCTTCCCAGGCAGGTTTGCTAGGAACAGGCTATTCTGAGGTGAGGATAGGATTAGGAGAAAAATGAGTTGGAGGAGACACGAGCTAAATATAAAAACAAAAGTAAGCAATCCTGAAAAAAAACTATTTTTTGCTTTCAAGCTGCAATGTGGAAAATGAAACTGCAAACCTTGCTTGTTTGTAATGTTCGTGAACACTGTTTAAAGAAAAGGCATCTATATCAATTTTGGATGGTTTTGTAACAATGGAAATTCATGTGTCTCTGTGTTTTAAAAGTCCAGTTTTATTAGCACATATTGTAAGATGTCATCCCTTTATGTGCGCAGCATAAATTGTTGAGAGCTATGCAAATGGCCTGTTCATTAGGACACACATAAATGCTTCAGAATTTCCACTAAATTGATGTATTGTTACTTGCTGTAGCTCTTGTCTCTGCCTCCAAATCAACCTCTTTTCAGAAAATGAATAAATCCAGAGCAGGGCTGTTCTATAAAACAAACATTTTGCAGTTCTCGGAGATAACTTCTTGGCCTGAAGACTGGGAGCGGAATGCCTCCCTGCAGCACTGTCTTGGTGGGTTTTGGTGACTAGCACCTTTTGGATTGTGTCAGGATACTGCATTTGCTGGGCAGCCTATGCTTTGAGCCTGCTGCTGAAGTCTGCAGTCTTCACATTAGGTTCCTCTGTGTAGTGTTTGATGGGATGTGATCAGTACTACACATGTATTAATGCCAGTCTAAATTGCTGTCATCTTTATATTCTGACTGCAGATCATTAGATGGCCGGCTGCAAGTGTCTCACCGGAAAGGTCTTCCCCATGTGATCTACTGCCGGCTGTGGCGATGGCCAGACCTTCATAGCCACCATGAGCTGCGTGCCATGGAGATGTGCGAGTATGCCTTTAACATGAAGAAGGATGAAGTCTGTGTGAATCCTTATCATTACCAAAGAGTGGAAACCCCAGGTACTGCTGGCCCTCTGTGCAGATACCTCAGCTTCTTGGTACCAGCATAAGGGATTTATAAGTGCGTTTCAAAATTGAATAAAGCAGCAGGCGTAGGGGTTTAAAACCAAAGTGTATCTATTATTGATGGTAATCTCTTACTGTATGCAGTAGAATAATTTATGAATCTGCACTCGGGGGGAAATATCATTTTAAATCGATAAAATCCAAGTTGAGCAGGTTGCATTGTTGCCAGGTTCCTAATGTGGCATTGTGTGCCTGTAAACAACACACACATGTAGTAGATACAAGTATGAACTACAACAATGTTCTGCGTATCCCTAGTTGTTGGTATTAAATTAAGGATAAACTTAGTGTTAAGTTGAAGTGGGTCTAAGAATAGCTCCCAACACAACTGAACTTCCTGTTCTGAAGTCTCCTCCTGCCTCTGAAAGAGGCTTTCATCTGGAACTGCAGATAGTTCTGCTGCGTGTCAGTACAAATCTGCAGAACCAGTCTGGATGTTTATGCTAATCCTACTTTGCTGTTTCATTTTATGTGAAATTTATTCCTTTTGAATTATGTGGTATAACTTCTCTTAAATAATTTTTCAAGAAGACCTGTTTCTTTGCCTTCAAAGGGGCAGACAGATTAGGTGTGTTCAGATAAGCATGTATCCCATCCCCAGCTGAGATACGTTAAGAATAGCATCTTTAACTGCTGCTGTTATTTCAGAAGCAAGTATCAAATTGTGTCCCTTAATTAGTGACTTTGGTGTTGCATGTATTTAAGGGTGTTACTCCAAACTGGTTTCTCTTCATTTTCTAGGGTTTCAGTAATTTTATTTTAAAGCTGTTAACGTTGCTGTTCTATTTTTTTTTTTTTGTTTCCATTTGTGCAGTGTTACCTCCAGTGCTGGTGCCTCGGCACACAGAGATCCCAGCTGAGTTTCCGCCGTTAGACGATTATAGTCATTCTATTCCAGAGAACACTAACTTCCCAGCAGGTATCGAGCCACAGAGCAACTACATTCCAGGTACTGTATATCGTCCATACAGCAAGCGGAGGGAAAAGGGTCATATTGCACAGTGAATCGTGTCTATGTATGCAAACCTGGATGACTGGAAAGTCTTTCTTTCCATTGTTACTATGAAGCTAAGGAATGGGAACCTATACAAAAATAGATGAAAGCTGTAAATGTAGACACACAACAGTGCTGTTTATAGTTTTGTTTTGTTTTCTTTTCTTTAAACTCACCTCTTCCCTTCAGTAGTACATACTCAGTTTATTGTGGAATCTAAAGCTGAATGTTCCTTTAACAAGTTTAGATTTGGATGACATTCAGCCATTTTAATTTGAGTAAAACGCTCTAGATTTCTGAATGGAATTGAGCTTTTCTATTTATGTATCTCTTTTACAAGCAATTTACACCTTATTTGCATGGACAAGCTATGCAGCTGCACACCAGGAAAGAAAAAATACGTGGACAGAAAACTGTCTACACGGCTTAAAGTTTTATGGGACTGAAAATTTGGATTTTTTTGTTTCCCCTCTCTCCTCTGTTATTCACAAATATGCTATGGCTATCATCCTGGTTGTGCCAGCTCCTCCTTTCAGCAGTCTGATGAAGAAAAGTAATAAAAAAGAAATTTAGCTCCTCGTGAATAACAAGTAAATGTTTCTGGTGTCTGAAATCCAGACTTTGCATCCAGTTGCAATGACAGTATGATCATTTTATGCTTCTAGAGACACCTCCTCCAGGCTATTTGAGTGAGGATGGAGAAACTAGTGACCACCAGATGAACCCCAGCATGGATGCAGGTAAGTCATCTTTTGCCATTTGCTGCAGCTTTCTAGGTCACATCAGAGACTCTTTTAAAGTTTTTTCTTTGGGGCACTGAAGATCAGATGGTGGTTTGAGGTATTTTGTCCCTGTAGGAGTGCAAAATGTAGCCTGACATCTCATGTAAAGCACAGGGCTGTATGTTTTAGAGCTTCTGGTAAAAGGTACAGCATGTTCTTGTTCTCCCCAACATCCATCATTAGATACTACTAAGCAGGAGCCTGAAACAGTGGAGCCTCATGTAAGGATGATAGTTTGTGTTGCACTTGCGTCTGGTCATCTGTATGCACATGAAAATTTTGCACGTAGCTGGCACTTTTCTGCAGAGCATTTTTCTGATCGCTTAGTTGTTTACATACTTAAATGTCCAGTTTAACTGTATTTGAAATGACCACTAGCAGATTCGTTTTTAAATGGGTTTATAATTTAGTGCATTTATCATTTAGTCTGCGTTCTCGCTCATTGCCAAGAAAACAAGTAACCAGGTTTAGAATGAGCAGCCTTCCTGTTCGTGCTAACCTGTATCAACACTTTAAAATTAAACATGCAGGTCTCACCTTTCTGGGAGAAACTGTTTAAGGTATCTTGTTGATCTGAGTGGTGTCACTGCTTGTAAGAACCACTGAATCAGACTCTGAATTCATAGAACTTTTGCTTGAAAAGCAAAACCACATCCTTGGTTAGAAGGGTTGATGCTTTACAAGAAGGATATGCAAATAGATATGCAGAACCTAATTAATGCAAATACTGCACACAAATATCTTGGTTTCTGTGCATGTCTTCAGCCATAGAACATACGTGGGATTCTAAAAGAGGGATGACTGATTTGCAGTCTTTCACCGCAGTTGTACAGATGGAGGAAGGCAGTGTGGGTTGGTTTGTCTACATGAAACACAAGCCTATTGGCACAATCCATTTTAGTGCATACAATTATTGGTAATGTGGTTGACATGTGGAATGTATGTATGACTTTTTGAAAGTGGACTGGAATAGGATGGGCCTGGAAGATGCTATAAATACCCAATTTATGTTCAAATGCTATATCCCTTCCTTCACATGTCATGGACTTCCCTCTTTACAGAAAAACAAATTTTAAAGAAACCAGCCAAACTCAGTGTGAGAGGAAAAGAAAAAATGGGCTGTACCACCTGTCTGCATCCGTGTGGCATCCAGAGGATGGAAATTGCTCTGGACATCCAAGTGCAGATATTTGAAATATATGCACAGAATTTGTGGACCAAATTGAAATGATTGGGGATAAAATTCTGACAGTTGTTTGGTCAGATCTGTATAGCTTGATACAATACTCCATTGTCCCAAAACCAGTAAGATTTGTTGATATCAAGTGGTATGTTTTCAACTGTTATGAGTACGTTTTGTGCCTGGCAATGTAAAATTAAGCTCTTAAATGCCCAGCTAACTGGGTTTGTAGCTGTCATGATGGTACCTGGACCTTTGATAACTGCAAGTGAATGTAAAACTGACAACTGCATGCTCAGTTTTGTAAATTAATGGGTTAAGCTTAAGTGAATGCGTTATGAAGATGCTTAGCAGTATTGCAGATGTAGCAAGTTGATATAAATAATAGCATTTGGAAGCTCATGTAAAGAGTAATCAACATCAGAGAAGCTGCTGGTGTCACAAAATGAGACTTAACTGAGAAGTAGGTTATCCCTCCAGCAAGCCTGGGCAGCACTGAAGATTTTCTGCAAGTGTTTTTCCTTGTGTAGATGCCATTCTAATACTTATGATGTCTTGATTTTCAGGTTCTCCAAACTTATCACCAAACCCTATGTCTCCAGCACACAATAATCTGGGTAAGCATGTGATTTTGAGAAGTGTGTGTAATTACAGTCAAGGTACTGACATTTTAATGATGATGTTATTTCTTGAGGTTGTGTGCTTTTGATGAGGTTGTGAGCACCGTTGATGTGCCTTTCTGCTAATCTTCTTTACTGTGATAACAGTGGTTCACAGTAACTCTATATGAAATAAAGAAATCTGAACTTACATCAGAGTTAAATAAAGAAACAAGAAATGTTGGCAGACAAACACCAGAAAGAATGAGTAAAGGGCTGCTGCAAAAATACACTTATTTGATTACGTGAATTTGCAAGGAACATATCCGTCTGTTTTGCTGGTGGGTTTGTGTCCTTATATTTTTAAAGGCTGCAGCTTGAGGTTAAATTTTGTCTCCTGGAAAGTTACCTTGTAGATTTGTAGTGCTTACTGGTCTCTTTTACAATACATCAGAGCGTCTTGCAATTTTTTTTAATTTATTAATTTGATGTTACATTCATTATAGGGCAAATGCTGTTATCCACATATTGTGGACAGGGGGCTGAGGTTCAGAGCTGCAGATTTGCCTGCACTGCTTTGTCAGCTCAGGCAATCATCTGCTTGACTGAAGGGCAGCAAATGCATTGCATCCTCATGTAAACCCAGCTCAGGAGCAAACCCATGTCCCCCGCAGAGCAAGTGTGCAGTTACACAGCACAGATAGGCATGGCCTTGAGGGTTTGGGTGGCAGTGGCTGGGGACTCCTAACAAAACTATGAGTGCTAGGATGGTGTCAGATCATAAGGTAAGTCTGCCTGAGGGGCATCCCTGGACTGCATAGGGATAAAGCAGCCCAGAGCCCTCATGTCCCAGTGCCCTAAACCACTGGAACAACTGATGGCCCAGGTGTATAAGTTGTTATAGTACGACACTGAGCGTGGACTGAGCAGAGCAAAGTGGAGAAGGCTCAAAGTTGGTTGGTGCTGAAATGGAACATAGTCCAGTCCTAATAGGTCACTGCTGTCACTGATTCACTCCATAAACTGTAGAAAGTAAATAGGAGGAAAGCTGAAGAAGAAGGAATAGCGGTTGAACAGGGCCTTTACCTTTGAGATACTATTAGAGGTTTTGTGGCTATCTCTGAACCTCTGTTGTCTTCTCAAATGGCTCTGCCCTTTATTTTCCTACCTACAGACATAAAAGGTCTGATCTTCATCAGTTTGAGCTCTTACCCTGTTTGAAATTGCTCTCAACGGTCTGTCATAAAAAGCACTCACAGCCCTGGCTAGCTGCAGGATCAGTTCTCTAAATGCTCATTAAGCCAGCAGACAGAGGCCACTTGAGATTACTCTTGAATAACCATAGCCATAAAGTTTACATATGCTTTTAATCCTGGCACAGAGTACTTTGACACTGCTCCAAAATTTGTCAGTCATTGGCTGACTTGTAGGTATCTTGGGGCTGTTGAAGAGGGGATTTCTTTTCTCTTCTCCCCCCCCCTTTTTTTTTTTTAAAAGCGTAGGATGTATTGCCACGGTGCCACTAAGTTTTTATTTGCTTTAACTGTTAAAGCCTAAGAAAAGAATATATGGCTGACTTATTTTTTTGTCATTTTTTCTTTTTTTGTTTGAATCCATTATGCTTCAGTGTGCTGCCTTGGAGTTGATGAGAATTTCTAGCAATTTTTTTCAACGTAAAAATAAAAAGCCAATTACATGTAACAAAACCAACCTGGCAAGCTGACTGTGGCATCTGCCTTACATAAGGAAAAAAGGAGTTTCTAGGAAAGAGGCCCCAATACATATCCTTTCTAACAAGGATACTAGTTATTAACACATGCTGCTCAGCTGATGGGCCTGTCAGATGTCTAATGTGCTGTCTGGTGACAAAAACTAAGTAGGAGCAGGTGAAGCTGGTTAACCACAAGGAATCTCTTTGTAGTCTAAGGAGCAGACATCAGAAAAGCATTTTAACTTACCAACATTAAAAGATAACTTTAAGTTTTGCAAGCCAAATATTTATTGCTCTTAGTCAAGAGCTTCCACAAATTAAGAACTTCTTGTCTTTTTTAAAAATTTTATTGTAAATTTTTGCATGTGAGGAAGCTACAGAATAATAAATGCAATGGCACATAGCTAAGCAACTCTTTAACGACTGTCAAATGACAAAGTTGTCTGCATCTGTACCTTGTAGATGGCATATCTAAAGGAGCTGCCTATAGCAATGTAGGTGAAAACAGCAGCAGCCCATCAGACCTTCAGCCTGATGGTCTCTGCAGCCCAGAAAGGAGTTACATAGACTGTAAGAGCAGAACTACTCAGCTTTGCAGGTTCTCTCTCCTGTTAGAAGTTACTTGGTGGCTGGTGATCTGCAGTGTTCCTGCTTTTGCTGTGCTATATAATTCTGTGGATAAGCAGAATGCTCCAGTGTCTAGGGCTGTACTTTCATCTGCAGAAGTTTAATCAGGCTTTCTCTGTATGTTTTTTAAGAAAATTGAGTAGAAATTTAAAAAACACAACAGCGTGCGATGAGGAAAATTACCAGCAAGGTCTCAGCAGCAGAGTGCAGTGGGCTTTTGCGGTTTTGCCATTAGGAAAATCAAGTCACAGTATTGATGTCTATTTATTTGACCAGAACTACCTGAAGCTTTTAAGACAGTTTACTTTGTGTAAGCTGAACTTTGGACTTAAATCCCATCCAGAGAATTACAAAGGCAATAAACTAGCATGAAGCAAACCAACTAGGACAATAGAAGCAAGGTTTGTATGAGGTGCAATGTGTGTATTTCAGCATAAAGCTGTAAGACTGTAATATGGGGTTGAAGGAACTTAGGGAGTTTCATCTCCCCATTCACAGGCAGAAAAGCGTTGCAAGGTAACGTACTGGGTTTTTTTTTAACTCCTTTCAGCTTGTGCATTTGATATGGAAGCATTTTAGTTTTGGTCCAAAATTTCAGTTGTAAATTTTCACTTGTCAAACATAAGATTTAAGTAGAAGTTATAGATATCCAATGATCTCTTCTGTATTACTGAAATACAAACTGGAGAAAATACAGAAAGCAACCAAAATGAAAGGAGAGTTGCCAGCATTATGTGGACATTTGGAATGAAGTCAGGGAGTTTATGCTGGCCAAGGGCCAGGCCTGAGGTTGCATGCATATTGTTATTTGGAGTGAGGCAGTCCCTTGGTGTACAGGAAATCCATTGTCAGTGTTTGCTCCACAGAAGACTTGACGCAAAAGCTGTAAATGAAGTAAGCGCATACCCTATGGTCAAATCCATCAGTAACATAAGCCTCTGTTACTCTCTGTGTTGAAACACTATTTCCCAAAGCAGTGAAAAGACAGCCCTTCCCAAAGTACAGAGGGGAAGGGAGTATGCACACCTATTTATCTTTTTGTTTCTGAGGAGGGAGTTAGAATTACTGGGGCTGCAACTAAGACAGTTAGATAACATATATCAGTAACTTCTGGTATACATTGTGTATCAAACGCATTAACTGAAACTAGGATAACAACCGCTCTTATGCTTAGAGCACACATTGTAGAGAGTGCAAAGCAGCCAGCAGATTTTTTTCCTCTGCAGCTGAACAGATAGTACCTCCATCTTGTAGGGAAGATGCAATATGGGTAGCATCCCAATATTCAGTGGACACTTGTGAAAGCAGAGCTGTAGTGAGTCAAGGTTGAAATTGTATGGAGACAATTCAGGCAGGATTTGCTTGGTTTTAGTGTATCGTGTTAGTTAATTGTGTACCTCTTCAGGATTCTTTTGTTTTAGCAGATCTACGTTCTTTTACTTTTCCCCAAACAGTAAATCCATAAATTGAAAATGAACGTTCAGGACAGCTCTAATGTAAGACGAAACTTGCCCATCCCATGACAGCTTAAGCTGAAGCCTAAGACCACAAATCACAGGAGAAAGCAGCATTATTAAAAGCTTGGTTGCATTTTTTTAGAGATAAGTTTTTCTTCAAAATAGGATTTGTTGGTTTGTGTCTTTCCTCAAATTGCAAATAAGCCGGAAATAAAATTTCTGTGCATCCTTCAGTGGGGAATCCACAGTTCCCGTGAGTCGTAACCAAGCGGAGGTGGTTTTTGAAGGAAAGGACCACAAAACCATAGAGAGCAATACAGGCTTTGGTGTTTTTATAACTTGAACAGTACCAATCTGAGGACATTACTTAAGGATCAACAAAAGTTGATTTGATTTTTCTGGAGCTGAGCAGCCTTTCAATTAAAAAGGCACTTGCTGTGGAATAAGAGCACGGTTATGTGGAACACAATCTGTTTTCCTAAGTGGGTGGACACACTTAAGAGACTCTGATTAGTGCTGGTATTTGCTGTACCTCTATACAAATTGCACTGGAGCCATGTGAAGCCCAGAGTCAGTTACGATGTGTACAGATTACTGCTGCAGGCCACAACTGCTAATTGATGAAATGAGGCTGGTATTGGAGAAATATGCCTGATGTGGCAGTTTCCAGTGGGACAACCAAATATGTTGTACAAGAGAAAAAAGCAGAGAACAGTAAACTTGTGTGACTCCTGGGTGTGTTCAATATCATCTGCACGTATCAGGAGATGGGCTTGCTTTAAGCTGTGAAATTGTTTAAAATGTGATGAAACGGCAGGTATGCTTACCAGATCTCTTAAATTGATGTAGCGACCACTGTTCTGTTGAACTGCCTTCTGTTAGCTTTTGCTTTGAGCATTATGTCCTTTTCTGTAAGAGGAAGATAGGCTTTTGCTTTTGTGGGTGTAAGGTGTGGCGGAGAGCAGGAACATCGGGCTTTGCTTGTGATAGAGCATTTTTCTTTTGGATGATATAATTAAGGAAAGAGAGACTGTGAAAGAAGCTGGGAGTGGGTATAAGCTCCAAAATTCATGGACTTTGAAGATCTGCTAAGGATTACAGAGTTCCCCAGATGCACTTTTATTCAATTCCTTATTTGCTGTCAGCAAAGCTTGTAACAAAGCAGAAACCAAAGTTTTTTTCTGATTATTGGCTACTTTGGGAACTGGTACACCACAGCAATGGAGAGGAAACCAGCATGTCTTTTGTCTGAAGCCAGGCTGCTTCAACCTGTTTCTAAAGGTTACAGAGTAACAGCAGGTACCAAATGAGAAATTACCCTCAAACCTCTGTAGAGACACCCTCTTCATCATGAGAGGAGGCTGGGATGGTAAAAACCTGTCTTTGATTTTTTGGAGCTGATCTCTTAAGCCCCAGATTCGCCTAAGCCTTGCAGGAGCAACAGATGGGAAAGCCTATGGAAAAAGCTGGGTTTTGCTGCTTGATGTTAACTCTTTGGCCAGATGGGAAGCTGTTGTGTTCTGCTTTTAAGCACCATTTGAACAGGGATGAAGTGATAAATTGAGGGGAGGACTGGAGGGAATTCTTCTCTTGCTTTTATTTCTTGCATTGAATTTGGGGAATAAAGCACTTATCATTTAGCTTAGTCTGCTTTCCATTTCCTCTGCTCAGCAGATTCTTGGCTTGCAGCAGGACTGGGCACCATCTAGTGCAGTATTTCCAAGAATATTTGACTTGAGCCTTCCTCTGCTGAAATCTCATTGGCTTCAGTGGGAGCAGTTAAATAATTCGAAGCCATTTGAATGTCCCACTTTTCATGCATATCAAGTATTGTCTTCCTGAGACTGCCTCAGCCTCAGTTTGCTCATGAACCTTGGTCCTTTCGCTTCAGTCCGCAGGCTGTGTCAAACCATAACCCCGATAAAAGAGATGTGCCATCATCTATTGGAAAATTGGATTTTCTTTTCATAATTTGAGATTAAATGCACTGGAAGAAAGCATCTCATTTTTAAATCACTTTGATGCCAGTGTTATGTACAATTTGGTGCACATTGCAGACACCTCTACTGGTTTCATCAGTGCTAGAGAGATCATAACAGAGTCAGTAAGAATAAAAGTTGGATTTGCTGGGTACTTGGTATAAGTGCACAGCATTAGGGTTCTGGAGACCTGTGCTGTTGAAAGCAGGTTTGTGGTCTGCTCTTTCTAAGGTTTTCTGTTTCTTTCTTTTCTGTCCTTTTCTCTTTTCTTTTTAGGGTACTGGCTACCTAAAAGTGATCCCATATTTCATAGTAAAGCTAGCTTTATTTTTTAAATTTTCTTCAAGTATGAAGATAGTTAAGTTTCACCCCACTTGCTAAGTGACTAATTTCTTTGACTGTTTGTGATTGTTCCATGTGCCAAAAGCTTCAGAGGTGATGCAGCTTTCTAGCTGTGGTCCGTTAAAATCTGTCAAATAATTAAAGTTTACTGGTTAAAGTGAGCCCAAGGAATGAAGCAGAACAATATTTCAAAACGGTTGCTTTTTTTCATCCCCCTTCCCCTACTGAGGGCCTGTGATTCATTTTGCTTTTTTTTGTGCAGATCTGCAGCCTGTTACCTACTGCGAGCCAGCTTTCTGGTGCTCGATATCCTACTATGAACTCAACCAGCGAGTGGGAGAGACTTTCCACGCCTCTCAGCCCTCTATGACTGTGGATGGCTTCACTGACCCATCTAATTCTGAACGATTCTGCCTTGGTTTACTGTCTAACGTGAACAGAAATGCGGCAGTGGAACTCACAAGACGACACATTGGTAATTTCTAATTCTTTGGTTTAGTCAGTGTCTTTCAAGGTGGAATGTGGAGACCTGCATGTAAAGCTGTTTATTTAGCTAATTGGCATGCACCTCGGTCAGTTTTAGAACACTGTGATGTTTGAAAATCCATGCAGGCTGATCTTCCATAAAGGAACACTAATTTTATTTTTTCATAAAAGTATAATGAAAAAGTGCACTGAGGAACACTTAAAATTGCTGCAGGTAATAGAGACAGAATTTAAACTTTTACATGCACTCTTTTGTATTTGGATGGATGTTAGTGATAATCTCGTGTCTTCCTTTTCCCTCCTGCACTATTTTATTTTCCAACTGACTGTTCTTGAAACTTAGTTTCTTGTTTTTCATCTCAATTTCCACTTTTCCTGCTTATGCTGCAAAGTAACATGCAATTTTATTTTCAGTTAAACTTGTGCTAAATAGAATATCCCAGATTTATGCAATTTTACTAAAAGGCAAAATTGCTTATGTTTTGCTGTGTTTTCTGCTGACTTCTATCAAAAATGAACCTCCTGCTTTTTGTCCTGATTTTGCTCCCCTTTATACCCTTTCCTGAGCAGTAAACTTTGATACAGGAGGATCTTTCCTTACTTATTTCTAATATCAAAAAACCCCTAACACCAAGAAACCCACCAATATTTAGAAATAAGTCTTTAAATTCAGCAGGTTCCTTATGCTCTATGGAAGAATGAAAGCAAGGTATTCAGATAGGAACGTAAGACTACAGCAAATGTTTATTTGAGCAACAAAGATGTATTCTGGAAATTTGTTTCTTTATTAACTGAGATTTTAATAATTTGTGTAAACTCCTATGGGAAATGTATGTTTGTCTTTGTATACAATGTAATCTCAAGCAAAAGGCAATTATTTTAAAATGTTGTATAATTTAATTCCAAATCACTAAGTAAATAAACAGTTCTATCCAGCTACAATGACTTTCAGAAAAGGTTGAAAACCATATGCTAACTGGTAGAACATTCATATGGAAAATATCAGAGACATGTATGTTTGGAGTATGCAGGCTGTGAGGTGGTAAATTTATGCAGTCCAGGCTGTGATTGACAGTGGGGCCAGAGAGTGCAATTCTGACTTTATAAATTTGTCCTCCTGCTTTCCTCAGCTTAACTCACAGAGCAGATTTATTGCTCCCTAATGGGAGTACCCAGTGGGCCAAAAGAGGTGGTTTTCATTTTCCATCACTCATAGTTTAGCTGCTTTTTGAGAGCTGCCTCATGCAGAGGTTGTCTACGTCTATACCAGCTCTTCTTGCATGTTTTGCAGATGATTGTTCTAAGCTAAACCAAAACTGTGCCATGTGTTTCCTAGGAAGAGGAGTAAGACTCTACTACATTGGCGGCGAGGTCTTTGCCGAGTGCCTTAGTGACAGTGCCATTTTTGTCCAGTCTCCCAACTGCAACCAACGCTATGGCTGGCACCCAGCAACAGTTTGCAAGATTCCACCAGGTAAGGAAGTATGCCCTAGCTGTGATCCTACACAGGCTTCACCTTTTGCAAACAGGGTCCTGCTATGAAAAGCAAGCTCTTTGTCAAGGTAGGTATGGATTTGTTAAGCTCTGTTCTTGACAATAATCAGAAACTTGAACCCTATTATAAGCAACCTGACAACTCAAGCAGGGCATTTTTTATAGCATAAAGGATGAAGGTACCGATAAAGGAAGCTACTATGTATGCTCCAACAATTGTTTGTACTACTTTCATACAAGTGGGAAGAAATAGTACTGCAGGATCTAAGCAGAACTAAGAGCAGGATCTGCCACTTGTTCCGTGCAGTGTTTTATCAGTCCATTATTGTATTGTAATGTTTATAGTCATGTTTATAATTTTGTTTGTACCTTTCAGTAAAAGAATATAATGTAAGAAATTTTTCTTAATTTAGAGTCACCCACAATAGATTTAAATTGTTACTTTGTTCTGTAGTAAAACTTTCACCCCCTTTGTGAATTAGTTTTATTCTAGGAAAATTGCATTTGCAGGCACCTTGTTGTTCTGGTTACAGCAAATGTATGTCTAAAGTAAGCTGAAAGGTAATAAGACATTTTATTGCATCTATCTAGGAAGAAAATACTTTTTTGTTAGATACATGCAAAAGAGCTAGTATGAGAGGATGCCGTTCGAAACAGACTTTAGCTATTTAGCTAGGCTTACAAAAGCTGATTTTTTTACAGTTAGACGTATGTATATATTTGAAAACCAAACTTTTTTGTTTAGAAATATTTGAATGAAGATTGTCTTTCTTTTGAGAAGAGATCCATACACTGCAAGCTCCGGCCCATCTTAAGGGGTTTCCTTTCTCAGATGCTTAGGAAGCAGCTGTCAGTGTTGCAAACATGACTTAATTCTCCAGCCACATCACAAGAGTCCACCCCGGCTGGAGTCAACATCTGAAGACATAAACAACCCACGTTTCTGCTGTAGATTCATCTAAGGCACATTTTTTGGACTGCAGCTCTTCCCATTTTTGCCACAGTCTTTGGCCGCCTTCTCAGACTGATCTTCAAATCTTTGCTGGGTTTGAAGCTGTTTCTTCATTCCCTTGTTGACAAGATCAGGTACCTGCTCCTCCCAGGCACAGTCGTGGAGAGACCTGTTCCCATCCAGTCCTGAAGTCTGAACAGCTTGGCAGTCTGATCCTGATCAAGTTTTTTGCTTTCCTTGCCATAGCATTTTCTCTGTGCTCAACCTGGCCCTGATGCTCTCACCCTTCTTATTTTCCTCCCTTAGACTGCAATGACACAGCTTCTCTTCAAACTCTCTGCAAGATACATGGCTCTTGGGCTGTGCTCTTTTATGGTCACAAAAATGGGTAGTTGTTTCTGCAGCTGCTGAGCTGTTGCATGCGGTTATGCTTTGCTATATGCAGTTTGACCCAAAACAGATGACAGTATGAGTCCAGCCCAAGAGAGTAGGCTCAGAAGTGATTTTAGAAAAATACAATTCATCACAGTCCAAATGGTTGTTTTTCAGACTTGGCCCATATGTAATCCCAAATGAGCATTAGTTGTGTGCCAAGTTTTGGAGTTTAACTTGTTTCTGGTTATCTGGGAGAAAGCAAGCATGGCAACACTTTTTTAATAGTTGTGTATTTATTTATTTATTTAAACTGTGAAGAATGTTGTTATATTTCACCTTTATCACATAAAACAGTTGAATAAGTTGGTTTTAGTCTTTTAGCTGTGACTGAACATAGGGGGAAAACTCCCGTTTTAAAGGAAAATTCTTTGGTGCGTGATAGTTACATTTAAGAGAGGATTATAGCAGAAGCAGCTCTGCTACCAGCCTTTTTAACCCCGAGAACTGGTTTCTGGCTTGCCAGAGCGGTTTCACTTCAGAACTTCTGCATTACTTCTGCTGACGGACACCGTGTAAATCCAAGAGCAGTCAGTTCCCATTTTTAGCCTGTGCATCCCTTTCTTTCAGGCCCCATAGTGATTGCCATTAAGTGTTGTGATCATAGTTAGGCTTTTAAATTACAGTATGAGGGAAATGATTGTAAAGGAGATAGAAGGAGGTTCCACATGAGGATCCCAAGTCTGGTTTCATAGATAGCAATCTGCTGTGTGGGCACTAGCATTAATCATTCCCTGTCCTGTAACATGGTTTTCTTCCTTTTCAGCATATGAGCTGTGGAAATGTGGCAACCTTGATTCCTTTTTCTGAAATGCTGTGTTTAAACAATCTGTGTATAGTACCACATGGTCTGAGGATATGGGAAAGCAGCATTGAGTTTCTTTCCATCCTCAGAAAGAAATGGATTTCTTAATCTAGTTAAGTTAATGCCTTGTTCTTGTCATGTTCTTTTTTCACAGGATGTAACTTGAAGATTTTTAACAACCAGGAATTTGCCGCTCTCTTGGCTCAGTCTGTAAATCAGGGCTTCGAAGCTGTGTATCAGCTGACCAGAATGTGCACAATTCGAATGAGCTTTGTCAAGGGATGGGGAGCAGAATACAGGTCAGGCCTTTCAAATGAAACTTTGCGGTATGCCTGTGCTTGCCATTGCCACTTCTGTATTTCACAGCCTAGGACAGTGTTCTGCAAAGCTTCTTTACTCAGCTTTTAAGGTGTGGGGAATTAACACAGTGTCTCTTCAGTAATGCAGATAGGTTGTAGTTGTTGAGAATGTGTTGATCTCTTCTCTTTTCCCATCCTATTTGTCTAAAACATACATCACGTGATACACCTGGAAGACCATGTGTATTTGTTCAGTGTTGTATGAAGCAAGAATTTTACCCGAAGCACAGTAGATAAATCCAGATGGCCTGTGTCAGAACTATTACTTTTTTTTTTCTTGAAATTAGATGTGTATTTATAGTTTGAGTGTCTTATGACTACACTGATATCAGGACAGGATCAGTGTGAGTGCTTCCTAAAAGATATGGGTTGGGTTTGATGCTTCTTTTATCAGGGACTAATGGAATTAAAATAAAAGCAGATTGGCTTGAAAATTTATATTTGGAAGAACTGTTAGAGTTGCTGCAAAATTATAGTTAAATCTCCTTATCCTTTCCTTAGTGCTTGTCATAGGGTAATTGCTTAAATGTGGCTGGAGGCAGTGGGAGAAACAGTGTGACTATTTTTCCCAGTGAATATTGAAGATAAAAAAGGAGATGCAGTAGGGTCTGATATTTGGGATCAATGATGTGGTTATCCTGACAACACGGGGACAGTGGAGACTGTGAGGGACAGAGTACTCCATAGCTTGTGTTGCTGTTGCTCCACTGCATTAGCAAGCAAACATCCCAAAGTAGCAAAGGGAGTGAAATCAGTGTTTAATAGTACAAGTAGGAGAGACGAAATTCGTTGGAAAATGAATGTCGTTTTATGAGAGAGAAAGCTGGCAAAGATTTAAGCCAAATGTGATTTTGAAATACTTACGTGACTGTGTACCCTCTAATTCTGTGGCCTTATTTGAAAATCTGGGGGCAGTCCCTGTCTCCCAGAGCAGCAAGGCTCTCTGCTGATGCTCCCCTTGCACAGCTGCCTGCAGCAGACGGGGGAGATGCCATAGTATCAGCTGGAGCCTGGACCCTGCACATTACTCTCCCACTTTCTTCATTTCTCCAGATGTTTGGAGTCCATTTTGTTTTGAAATTGTCCTGCACCCGGGCCAGAGCATTTCAGCCCTGGCTCGCAGCCACGGCTCGTAATGAAATCCAGATGAGCATGACTTACGGAAAGTCAACTATCTCATTAGAGTACTGTAGTCAGTGAAACCCTACGCTCACGCTGACCGCGCCGAAGCTGCTCTCTCGCTTCTTCATTTCCTTGCCACAAAATACTACGTCTGATTACCTTTGTCAGAGCACGTTTAGTTGTTGAACTGATTCATATATGAAAAAGTTACTGTGGGAGCTGCATCCAGAGCAGTGTTCCAGTGATTTCTGGTTCAGCTGCTTAGCCTTTTGAGCATTCCAGTTGGTGGGGTGTTTAGTGCTCTTGTGTGCCAGGGATTTGGTGGAGGGAAGGGAGGAGAAGCCAATTGCATAAGCAGCCTGTGATACAGAGGTTCTCCTCTGTCCAGTGAGAGCCTGGTGGAGCAAGCTGAAGGCATGGAGAGCTTTTGAGGGTTTGCCTTTCTGAAAGGCTGGAGCTGATGTGTTGGTCATCCAGGTGGGAAGGCAGAATGAAGTTTGCCGTGGTAGGTTTGCAGAGGGCAGAAGCGCAGCAGCCCCATGGGTAGTGGGTTTCTGTACAGTGTTGCTGGGACAGTCGTTGGGCTGCTTAGTGTTAGGCTAGTTTCAGGCAGCAATGGGAGACTAGTTTTTCCTGGCACCTGGGAGGTTTGTGTGCTTCGCTGAAGCTGACAGAGCGAGAGGTGTTCTGCTCTCGCTGTCCTGTAGTCTTCCTGCCCAAACAGCTCACAAGACACCCCTTAATGCAAAACACTTACCATTAAATCGCTGTATAGGACAAGCCCTGCCCATACGCCCACTCTTGGGGCATTGCCTGGCCGGCCAGCTCTGGTCCGCCGCGCCTGAGCTGGGAATGGGTGGGGTGCCTTCAGGGAGCTGCTTCCATTTTCAGTTCAAAGGATGAGCGATACAGATTCATCAACAGAACGGGTTACAGCCCTTGGCCAAAGCCTTGCAGAGCCGTACCTTGGAGCCCCACTCCTCTGCCCTGCCGTGAAGGGGCAAGGATGGCGATGGGAGTGCAGGGCAGCCCCATGGAGCAGAGGGTCCCCTTTTCAGCAACGGTTTCTCCCTGGGTCCTGCAGACTTTGGCTTTTGCCTCCCACAAACAGATTCCAAGGACAGCTTCTGTGGGAAATCAGGGTGTAAAACAAGGCTGTTTCCAGGCTATTTCTCTCTCTTTGTAATCTTCCTCCTCCACAGCAGCTGTCCCTGCCACTCTGCCTGGAACAAGACTTAGGCCATCCCTCTGCAGAGGAGGGAGAGTCCCTTGCCCTGTGCCTTGGCCTCCCTTCCCTTCCCATCTCTTTCTGCTTTACCATCTGGAGACACTCCATGGGCTCTGGCCTCAGGGAGAATAACAGAGAGGCAGATAGGAGAGGGGGAAGGTGCTTTGTGGCAGGGGAAAGTAAAAGTATGGTGTGTGCTGACCCAGCAAGGCATATCCCCTTCTACTCTTCAGCCACAGCTGCCAGCTCTTGAGGGATTTTAAAACACATGGTTTAATACTATGTTTCTGCTTTTCTGATAGGTTTTGCAACTTTTCACACTCTGCAGCATTTCTGCTTCTTTTGAGGTAGCTGATCACATGCAAATCTGTTGGAGTGCCCCATACACAGCACATGTAGTGTAGGGTTCAAACCTCCAGCGCATCCTCCCAAGCTGTGCAAAAAGGATGCTCAGCGGCAGCTCTGGCTGCACAACAGAGAGGGCTCCATGGGGCTGCGGAAGGGAGATAGTATGGCTGAGTGGTGATCTCTCTCCATCACTTCCACATTCTGCTAAAACCTAAAGATACAGTAAAAAAATATCCTTGTCTTACACATAGAGAAATTTAATTGCTTACGTTGCTGTCTAATTAGGAGAGGCAAGGTCTGCAAAATAAAACTGAAAAATTTTGCTTAGATAAACACCTTTTCTCTTCAGTGAATCCAATGCTGCTGCCTGTTTTCAGGAATCTGAGTAGTAAATAGGTTATTTGGTGAGTTGCTCCTTTGGGATCATAAGAAATGTAAAGAGAAAAGGTAGGGTTTTTAAATAGAAGTTGGCAGCATAGGCCAGAAGCGTGTTATAGAGGGGAGAGACATTCCTTTGGCCCCACATGCAAGACTATTGTCTAAGCAGGAAAGAATGCTTCAGTAGCTGTAAAACCTTTTCACATTTGTAAAGTTTTGTAGGTCACATTTATGTTCTTTTTTTTTTTTCCCCCCCCCCCCCCCCCTCTTTCTTGCAGGCGGCAGACTGTGACCAGTACTCCCTGCTGGATTGAACTGCATCTTAATGGTCCTTTGCAGTGGCTAGACAAGGTCCTTACACAAATGGGCTCCCCGAGTATTCGTTGTTCCAGTGTCTCCTAAGGAAACATCTGGGGGGATGGGGGGGGTGGGCATAACAAAGACTCTGGAAAACAGAATTGGCTTAACCCTTAGGAAAATGCATAGTGCATAGTAAACAAATTCCCAGTTATTGAAGTGATGAGAAAAAAAATCTGCTAAAAAAAAGGTGGATTTTCTTTGTTTTGTTTTGTTTTTTTAAACTAAATACTCATTTAAGCCACTTCCACTGAAACTGTTAGCACTTTGGTTACAATGCTATGGGCCATTGCAGTTAGAATTTGAAGCTGAAGTTTATCACAACAGAAAACTAGACTTTGTTCCAGTGGAGAGAAGCCAGTGCTCTGCCTCCAGCCGCGTCATGCCTGTCTGGCTGCTCACTCTGTGCTGTTGTGAGCACGCAGAAGCTGCTGATGGCTGGGAGGAAGCTTTCCATTTGCCTAACACAACTCCAGGCTCGTGTCATGCAGCATCTCTGAAAAGCCAGATACCGTGGGACTTTGGGATGACTCTTGCTCATGCATTCCTGTCACCATCTACCTGATCCACACATGTCCTCCCTGGGATTGCAGCAGTAGGGGGGAAAGGAAGCATTTAAAGCACACATAAGAACTAATTTGCCCAGTAATGTTCCCAAAAGGAATGTATTTCCCACGCTGGACTACTAACGAGGAGGCAGAGTCTTGCTTCATGCCTGAGGGATGCAGCTGATATCCTGATGGTCTCAGACTGGATTGACGTGAAACAAAAGGCCAAACTTAGGCTCCTGATATTGCTGCAGTGACTTTTGACTTGAGCTGCTCATGGACAGACGTTTGTTACTTGGGGAGCTCTGGCTGGCTAAGTTAAGCCTTTGTTATTGTGCAGTCTATTTGCATTAACTACAGAAAGTTTGTATTCTATTTTCTCAGTATGTTGAATGGTATCTGCCACTTCTGAAGTCTTAGGGGCTTAGTGGATTCAGTGTCCAGGTCAGCTCTAGTGATGGAAGTGAACAGGCCCTTGCTGCCATTTTCAGAATATGCAACTTAACAGGTTATCCCATGCTGTCACATCTGACTGCGCATGAACCAGGACATCTCAGACACAAAACCCCTCTGTTTAAAACTTATTTCAGCTGATTAAAATGCTCTGAGATGTAGTTTTGCCTGGAGAAATTGGGAGAGTGTGTATTTACTTGTATTATAAAATGTTCATTTTAAACATACATGCTCCAGACTGTTTACTATCTTGTCCCTGCAGCAACTGTCATGGCAAACAACTTCCACAACTGGAAAAAAACCCTTAGCACTTGTTTTTAATGGTTCAAATTTGCCAAATAAGTCTCATAACTTTGTCAGTGCTATCCAATTATCTGTTTCTTTATATCTGCATTGAATATCATACGCATTTGTGCCAAAATATTAGAAGGGGGAGGGGAGAAAGTGATAATCAGTTTCCTATGGAAATTTTTTTTTTTTTTTTTTTTAATTTCATATACGAAAGACACACACACAAGCTAGGTCTGGCTCTGGGAGGGACAGACTCAGATGGACTTTACAATGGTTTGTGTTAAGGCTTTAGTCCTGCAAACTTTTGTGCTCCCAGAGGCGAATGCAAGCGGCCCCACTGAGTTCAGTGGAAGTTTTCCTGCATGCCGGGTTGAGGTTTGCAGCTTCAGAGCACCCTGGTCCCGTAATGGGGTACAGACTGGTAATAGCATTTCAAACGCTTATCAGGAATTTCCACGTACCAGCCTATCTGTGAGAGAGGCTTTTCCGATGTGCTTGTTGCTTTGAGACCACTCTGTTTATCAACCCCACCACCTGGTTTGCAAAAAAACCCAACACTTTTGGACCTGAGGCATTGGCAAGACAGGGTACGAGGTGCCCCTTGTTTGGTGGACACAGGAAGAGATGATCCGAGAGGCTCGTTGCTAGTCTTTGTTTTACCAGGCAAATGAAGGGATGTTTTAGAGAGTTTTCTTCCAGAAACAAGAAATGATATTTTTATATGAAATTTAAATTCTGAGGAAGACTTTTGGTGGTGGATGTGCTCCTGAATGATGCAGGCACTTTTGAATATCCTCTTGCAGAATTTTGACTGGAGCTTTTCACTGTGCAACATGGCTTGTATCATAGCGCTGGAGGTTTTCTAGGATTTAAAATTTTTTTTTTTTTTTTTTAGTTTTTGCAATGTGTCTGATTTTAGATAAATCTCTGATTGCATGGACTTGTGCAATAAGAGCAGCTGTATAAAATAGTATTTTCTAGCCACTTAAAAAAGTAGGTCTGTCTGTCATTGTGGATTGATTTGGCATATACTTTCAGATACAGGTTTCTAACATGGTTGCAGACAAAAATTTGTCCGGACTTCTGTGGAAGTATTTGTCTTGCTGTTTTAGTGAGACAGGGAAAAAAATCTGCTATGTAAAATGGCCCCGGGTTTCCTCCCTGAGTGTCTTTAAGTCCTATTTGCTTATTTTAGTGAACAAACTATTTCCATTGTCCACATAATCGTGGAGGAAGTTGGACTCTGTGGTGCCTTGTGCATCAGCAACAAAAATGACATCTTAAATTCCAGTGTCAGAGAGTTCATTATATGTGATAGTGTGTGCAGGAACCCAGCTTGACCCAGAGGCTACAAGCTGGAATAAACCCTAACTTTAATATGAAGTTTGCACACAGAATTGCCTCCACAGCCAAACTAAGAATTGGACCTGGGTTTCCACTAGGAACCAGATTTATATCTTCTACTTGATAAAGGATAATTAATTGCTAACCGCTTTTAATAGAAGCCTTTTGAAAAACAGGATTCAGATGATGCATGAAAACTTTGGTTAATCTCACCTCATCATCCCTTAAGTAAAATGACTTCAAATGGAAAATGTAAGCTGGTGTAGCAGTACAGTTAGATAAAATTGAGATTATCTCCACTAAAGTATTAATTTCCTCTCCTCCCCTTTGTTTACCTTCTCACTAATTCATAAAAGCTTCATGGTTTTTCAAGTTACCTTATAAAGTCAAATGGAAAGTCCTGTACCATGCAACAAATGAAAAGATGAAGGTTGGGGAAGGGGTGTGATCCAAGGGACATTACAGCTGAGTTTCTTTTTATGTTGCACAGTTGAAGTGGGCTGTACAAATGAAAGCTAATTCCCCTGCCAGATCTGAAACGTGCTTAATCATGCCATTCATGTGGACACTAACGAAAGGGAAGAGGTAGCATTTGGCTGTAGATTATTGTAGGCAGCAGTGACCCAGAGGTGCACGTGGCTGCTTCTTGGTTTTACTTTTTTCTAAAACTTTATTAAAGTAGCTTTGATATGTAGCACAAATGTATGCAATCAACCATGCCCTAGCTTAGATTACATATCTGTACTGGAATATCTTCTCATTTAATGGTAGTCTTGGCTAGTTTTACCAGGATTTCATACATTTTTGTTACTAGTAGAGAGTCACTAGCAGGAACTTTGACTCTTTTTAATTGGTGTAGCCATACACAAGGGCCTGGCTGCTGGCAGATGATATTGATGGCCTTGTGGTTTTAAATGACTGTGGTGATTTTTTTTTTTTAATTATTATTAATGTATTGAACTGAATTGCAGTTTGTATTTTGTATTAAGCTTGTCTTAGAAGTAATCCAGTGCTGCCCATTTGATTTAATCACCAGGAATCAGCATGCGTATGTACAAAGATGGAGAAATCTAATCGTAATAAATTTCCCCAAAGCTCTGGCTACCCATATATGCCATGAAAAGAATGGGGAGTAACCTTTGAGAAAGAGTTAAACAAATGAGTTTCCTCTCCCCTTAAGGATCAGCGCAGTTTGAACCATGCAGGGGACTTCTTTGCAGGGTGAAGAATATTCAGGACTCCATCTCAAGCAGCAAGTATTGACATCTGTGTCTTGTGCTACTTAATAACTGGAAAAGCACAAGGAGCAAGAAGAACACAGCTCAGTGAAGGACTTCAGCCATATCACAAAACATCTGTGAGCTTTCCTAGTTCTCCAAGGTACTGGATAGGTAGGAGGAATGGAATTTCACAAATAAGCTGGTAAGCTAGAATGAGAAATAATTAGTCACTATATAGTAGTTGATTGAGCGGTATGGTTAAGAAATTCAGTATATGTTTTTTATTATGTACATGCTTTTGTATTTATGTTGTCTTTCTTGAATATTCAGATGAATCAAATATTTAATTTTTAACAGAAAGGGCAATTAAGGATTCAGAGTATTAAATCTTTCATATGTTCCTTTCTGGTGATTGCCAGAAATTAGGCAGTCACTGATGTGAGAATGAGAGACCTCAGAACTGAGCAACAAACCCTGGCGAATAGAACAGAACAAGGACTTCTCCAGCAGAAGCCTTTGCCGGAGTTGCTGTTTTATGCTTTAGCAACAAGTCAGGTTCCCAGATGGAAACTGTGCTCTTCAGATTTATGAGGCTTTAAAAAGAAAATAACATATTACTCCATAAATGTTTTGGTTCATCTTACGTTTCCTCCAGTATGTGGATACCAGAGGAGTCTGCACCAGCCTCTGCTGCTGAGATGCATCTTGTTCACTCTCCCAATGGAGGCAGCCTACTTTCTCCACTCTAGATTGAACCATTCCCCCTTTGATAGATATGTATGAGCATGTTGGCATTAGTGTTTAGATTTTCTTAACCTGAGATTGTATGTTAATGACCGGTGATGTCACCTACCTGCTTTAGCTTGTTAAGCATTATTCACCTATTTTGTTACTAAAGGCCTGTACTATGTATGCCCTCTTATTTCATATGTGAAACTGTAAGTTCTATTTTTGACATTTTAATAAACTTTGATTTGAAAACTGAGGCTCATGAGAAAATAAGGATATTGTAAAAACATATTTAAGGACACAAACTGAAAGCATTTGGAGTTTTGAAATCACAGATAATTCAGAGATGGCAGCATCTTTAGGCACGTACAATGAAGGTTGTTGCCAATAATTCACACGAGATCTCAGTTACAGGTAAGATCTTCATTGTTTCTACAGTTTGGACAGTTTTGGTCAAGAATTTAAAGCCAGATATAAAAAATAATAAAAAAATTGCAACTAGTTCTTTTAACTAACAGGATTCAAAGGTGAGTAGAAATGGAGCGCTGTGGCTCAGAGGGTTTATTGTCAAATTGCTGGAAAAGTCACACATAGCTAAATATTCATTCTTTGGCCAGTGTAATAACCTGTAGCTGTACTTTCACTTTATGGCTATGAATTAGGAAACTCCATTATCAGAAGCATAGGAGCTGCAGTGGAGAATTTAATGCTTTGTCCTTGGTGTCTTGTCATGAGGCAGACCCTAAAATACCTCCGGTGTCTCTGTGTTGAGGAACTGAAGTCCCGTGCTGAAGACACGTGTTAAGCCTCTCAGCTGTTCACTCCTGCAGAACAGAGGAAGGCAGGTGGATGGGCATAAATGTGGTCTCCAGTCCATACTGCATCGGTGATAAGGTGTTAATGCTCTTGAGACGGCACATGTTCTGGTCTGGCTCAGTAGCATTCATCCAGTCAATGTGTTACCTTACTGAAAAACATGACTTCTCTCAGACCTGGTTTCAAAGTGCCCCGCTGTTTCATCAAGTCCGAGAACTGATGGTTGGAAGATACTACTGGAGGTCTCTAGTCCAAGCTCATGCTTGATCCAAGACCATTGCCAACACTGGATCAGGTCAGCTGGGCTTTTGTCCAGATAAATCCTGAAGAAAAATCTTGAAGACCAGAGGTGCTACCACCTCCTCCCCAGATAAGCTGTTCCATGGCTGCATTATGTTCCTGCCTTAATCTCCCAGGCTGTATTTTTGGCTGTTACTCCTTGTTATAATGGGTTTCTGGAGTCTGTGGTCTCTCTTTGCAGCAATGACACTGCTCCTCCCTGCCACTCAAGGACAGCATTGTTAGCAGTCGCTATAGTCAGAAATGAAACAGTGGCCAAGCTTGAGCGGTGGCGGCTGCAGGGTGGTGGTGGAGTCCTGTGCACCCACTTGGTCGGCTCTAGAGAACTGGATGCCAGGGATGTGTCCCTGCTGCTGTTGTCACTACTGGGACTGCACCTAGAGGTGACTGGGCCATGAAATGTCCAGCGAAACAGCTGTTTCAGTAGAAAGCAGGCAGGCAGGGCAGGTGCTATACTGGGGGGGGGGAAAAAACCATATACGCTGGCATTCAGCTGGCCTCAGAGAGGGCATTCTCCAAATAGCATTACTAACTAAGCCAAGGCACACTATGATCTAATTCTGTGAACTCCTAATGCTCCTCCTAGGGTTTCACTGAAATGCAGATATTTTTTTTGTTTTTCCTGACACAGGATTTACGAGAATACTTTTTCCACTGAGTTTTCCAACAATGTGGTAATAAAAGGGTCTCGGCCAGGTTTTGTACTGAGGTTGCCAAAACTCAAGTGTGATGTAGTAAATCAGGTCTGAGCTGCAAGTTCTGCTAGTTGTCACCTGAATATATCATGGATTTCAGTATCACAGTCTTCTCATCTGCACTAGAAATGGGAAGCTGAAGCAAAATACAGGTTTGGTAATAAATGAAAAAGCTCAAAGCCATAGCCAAAAAAAAAAGAGTGAATTGACATTGCATGGAGGTTTTGGTTCAGGCAAAAGTTGGGTAACAAGTGGTTGGTTTGTACTGACAGGAAAGTCCTCTTGCAAGTGTCATCCTAGAGCTTCACCAGGACTGCAGCCTGGCTCACACAGCAATGCCTGCTTTCCAGACCTGAATCAGGAATGCCCTACCAGCAGCTGGTTATTCTGAAACTCAGGGAGTGGTGGTGGGGCTCTGGTTTTACCCTCGAGATGGGTGGTTTCATCCCTGTCTCTGCACTTTCTCTGGGCTCAAGGGAGGTGCTTCTCTTCCAGGTTCTGCAGGAAGCTTCCCTGCACCAGGCAGCTGCATTAGGCCAGCTACAGGGGAGGGAGGGGAAAAAGGTGAAATCAGCGATAGCGAGCCCCACCACAGCACCCACCCTACAAAGGAGATAAACCTTTTCTTTTTTTCTTTTTTTTTTTCTATAATATACTAATTGTGGGTATTTAGGACAAGGTTTCCACGAGTCCAAAACACTACTGGAGTAATCCATTTTTGTTTGAGATAAACATTACTGTTCTTGTATGCAAGTAATATTTTCTCCTTTTTGTAATTAATTGAACACAACATTTCTGTAGCCTTTAGTTGGAGTTGGAAGTTCACTAGGAAACAGTGGCATACTTGGAGTCTGTCAGTTTAATTCTATACTCAATTTACTTAAAATTACCTAGAAACTAATCACAAAAAGAAATGCAAACTGCACTGGCTACAGAGAAAGACAGGACTTGGCCTCAGAAGCTGTACGGACTGTTTCACATAGGTAACAAAAGCGTCTTTTCTCAAGTCAGAAGAGCAGCAGTACTGCCATGAAAAGCCTTTTAAGCCCAGGAAAACTATAGCATGTTTTGGCTCTCTTTAAGGACGTATTAATAAACTACCAAACCTGAATGCAAAAGACAACTGAGCCATATTTGTAATAGTTAAGAGTCATAGCCGATTACTGAATGGGTTTCTCTAAGGCCACAAACTCTTAACTCACTTCTGCAAGTGCTCCTTTGGATTAGAAAGTGCCACGGTCTGATGGAGAGATACAGAGAATTCAAATTCTCTCTGCATGTGGAGAACAGACTTTCCAATGGAGCAGCTGCTCTGCTGATTTTGGAGGAGGGAGGTTACTTTCAGAGCGCAGAGATAAAAATCTCTCTGAAACACGCTAAACCAGATCTAAGGCCACTGGGTTAAGCCAACAGCAGTAGGCTGCAAACAACAGCGTGGGGAGAGATGGGCATTCTGCAAACCTTCCCTGGAGCGCAGCCCGTGCCACTGTGAGCGCAGGCTGCCCCTCACCGCAATGCTCCTCTGAGGCTCTTCGTTGATGACGGCACGTGTACTCGTGAGGTTAACAGCTGTCTCCGGCGTGGAGCAATACAAAGACGGTATTTCAGTACGGTTTGATTTCTTCACTGCCTTTCACACGCTCTGTTTCTGTTCTTTGTTACATCCCAGCTCAGTTACGCTCTTGCCACCAGCTGCTCCTGTGGCCCCCCAGGGAAACGAACTACCAGCACTCAAACAGGAAACGTGTAGACTGATGGAGCCTTGAAAGTTTAACTCACTACAGTGTGTTTTCGTGAGATTCAGCAATCGTTGTGCCATGGCTAACACTGGAATTGCAATTTCTTCAGTTCTGTTTAGTTTAAAGGTCTTCCGCAGCCTTTGGAGTGTTTGCTGTGACCCTTTTTAGATGCTCTTCGCTAATACAGATGCAATCACTTCCCTTTGAGCTTTCTTGCAAAGACCACAGCCAGAAACAGAGGCTTCCCGTTTTCACTGAAGCATCATCACGTTTTCCTTCAGAATTGTGTCTTAAAATTCATTCACTGTACAACTAGATGCTCTTGTGACCACCTTTACCTAGGAAAAGCCGCTACATCTAGCCACAGTGCATTAACTTAACTGCTGAGCTGTTCCAGCGTGGTTCCAGTTCAGCACTGGAGTACCAGTACCAGGGAAAGCTAACAACTTCAAAACAGTTACAAGGACTTAAAACCAAGATGGGAATTCTTTTGCTGTTGCTAAACAATGCTGTGGCATACATAGAGAAACTAAGTGAAAGACACAACAACTTTCAGGCTTGCTTTTCCACCAATGCCCCTTTTATTCGTTTCTGTAACATCTATTTTGTAAAGAAATTCTGTAGCCAAAAACAATTTTTTTTTTTCTTCAGAAAAAAAAAACCAACCCACAAAATGAAAAACAAGCTGCCAGCAAAGGAAACTTTGATTTAAAAATATAATACCCTTTAAGGATCATTACAACTATTTCCTACTATCTCCTAGCCACACTTTCTACCTTGATGAATTGTGCTGTTTTAAAGCACAGACTGCATCTACAAACAAGACACATGTTTACAACAAAAACATTTGAAAGAGTTCTTATGTTAGTAAGATTGGCACCAACACATTATCTGTGCAAATGTTCTGCCAATCTTGGGCAGAAGCAATATGGATACCTTCCCTGCGGGTCAGTGGATATCAGGCCTACTACCTCCTACTGGACTAGGCTCCCTGTTCTTCGGATCAAATCACACTTGCCTGTCCTGTCAATCCTTGCTCTGTGCTTTCAAAGACTCTTTCTCGTCACTGTCTACACCAAGAGCTGTGAGTCTTTCCAGGATATATTTCCTCTCATACAAATCTCCTTCTCCTATTTGTAGCAGGCTGCCCAATGTGTAATTCTGATTCTTGGGATAAGGCGTCATTTACGGGAATTTAGCTGCTGCCACTTTGTAAAAAGGCAGCAAAGAACTTGATTTTGATTTGTATAATTTTATTAAATCTAAATAAACTGTCACATGTATATCACGTCTAAAGAATCAGTTTTATAAAGCATTCAAGTGCATTATTTTCTTCACTGCCTTCAATTAATTTACTCTGCGCTTTTGGCATTTATCACTATTGCACAACAAATATGTAGAAAGGAAAAAAAAAGCCTTCAGCTACCCAGAAGCAAACATGGAAAACCATCCCCTACTTGGAAGGAACCACCTTCAGTTCTGTTACAGCTCTCTGTGCTGGGGAAAAAGAAGGAGAGAACGGGAGGAGATGGCAAAGTCACAGCAAGGACCAGCAGCTGTTTTGTGTCGTTCAGTTTGCAAGAGGTGGCCCTGGTAGGTGTGTTTCCTTGAATGTCTGTACATGTATCCCTGTAAAAGGAACATTTTTGTCCTAAAAATAGGTATTTTACTGTGGTGGAGCTACTGCTCAGTCTTTGTATGAGAAATGCTTTTCAAACAACTAACAGAGCTTCAGTTCTGTTTCTTAAGAATTGAAGACGCTGCAGTTTTTACCCAGGAAATTATTTACAGCATTCCAAGAAGCCTATTATTTTACCTTTGCTTAATCTTTAAAGAGGCAGCAATGTATGTCAAGAACCACTGTGAAAGTGCTTTCAAAATTTAAAGCCGTCAAATAATTTATGGAAAGCCACTGTCTCAAGACTCACGAAATTTACTGACATGAAAAAACAGACATTGGAAAAGTTAATTTCAAAATTTCTAAGTACAATTGCCTAACATGGCATATTTTCAGATTGATAAGGAAATGCTCTTGGGGCAAATACATGCCGTTTCATAGGGTATGCCAGACAAGCACTAAGGAAGGCCTGATTCTTCAGCAGGGCATCTGTTGGCTACCTCTCTCCACTCAGCTGCTGACTGTGTCTGACAGTTGACTGCACTAGAAAAGGAGATAGGATAGCTTTTACCTTTTCTCCTCTCCCTCCATCGCCAGCCTGCGCCCTCCTTCTTGTCTTCCTAGTGCCTTGCACGTTTATACTCTCCAGTGAGTCTATGACTGTGCAGATGATGACGATATACTAAATCTAAGGACGTAGGAATTTTTTCTAACCCTTGATGCCATGAATCTGCAATTTGAGACTTGTACTCTGGGGCCTTCTAATGAACATACAGGAGCGTAAGTCTGTAATAAATGTGTCAGGTGGCAGCATGAGGTTTTTAAATTATAGGTTTTTCTCTTTAGGTGTTTAGGACAGAATTGACCAGCAGAAGGTCTGTGCATTCTGCTAGGCCTTGGCGGCCAAGCATTGCAGAAGGTTTGGGCAGGGAACTTCACCCCTGGAACATCAGCAAAAATCTGTCTTGCATTTAATCCCAAATTTTATTTCTAATGGAAACCCAGGGAGTGTGGCACAACACCTGACTTTCCAGGGAAGGACCACATACTTACACATGCAAACAGAATTCAAAGCCTGTGGGCCATTTTTAATAGCTTTGGCACTCAGCAGGATTAACCTTGCAGCCTTGGCATAGCATCCCACAACAGGGCACAATTCAGCAACTTTCTCTTCATGGCTCATATAAACCTGGTTTGTTTTAACTAGTAAGTCAGCTATAAAGCTACATAAAAACATCAAACAGGCCTACGTCTAAAATGTTGAGTTTAGAATTAAGTAGTCACTTAATAACCACCAGCCATATGTAGAAAGATAACTGGTAGTAAATTTGTTTATTTAAACTCAAAAGAGGAAACAATAACAATGTTAATTTGAAAAATGTAAACTAATTATTATTTCCTCTAACTGCATGCGTCGCCTTCCAAAATTCTTTGAGAGAATAAATGAACAGTCAGACAAAACCACTCTAACCATTAGGTGTGGTGGAATGTGTTACTTACTACAATGATATGGAGAATCCTTTAACCAAAGAAAGCTGAAGTTAAATGGGGCTTTTCACAATAAACACTCATTGCAGGAAAAGACCACTCTTTCAGGATTGCTCTGTCGCTTACAGCTACAGAAGAACTTAGTTTTCTTCATCCGAGGAGAGACCTTCAATTTCATCTCTGTCCCCTCCAATTGCCATCCAGAATGCTTTGGCCACCTAACAATGGAAAAAAAATATAGGAAAGGGAGAAAAATTCCCCTCAAATGACTGAAGATTTTGCATTTACCATCCAAAAAATAGAAACTGAGCAGCAGCTAAACCTAGCAACCGTGTTTCTAGGTACAATGCTAATCCTCTCTGAAGTTAAGAAATTTCAACACAGAGACAGCAATTTAGAATTCACGGGAGGCATATGTGACAGAAAACTTGTGCCAATTAAGGCATCATTAAATTTTCCTTGAGATCAAGGCTTTTCCATTGACTTAAGTGCAAGCTGGCTTACACCCTCAGTGACTGCAGGCTTCTTTTCAGAAATTTTGAAGGGGGAAAGTTTTTTCTGATGTTTCAAAATTCCAGGTTTGTTATTCAGTTCTTGGAAGATACCAGCCAGTCTTCCCTAGGACTGTGCCATTTGTTCTTACTACTCTTAACATAGGAACCCTACAAGAGAAGAAACTACAGCTTAGAAAAGAAAACCCCATTTTTTAAAGAATTTCAATGCCAATTTCACAATCTCACCTTTTCCGCGTGTAGTTTTCTTTGTTCATGAGGCAACGTTGCAGCTTTATCTGTGGAAAAGAACATGACTTAGGTTGTCAACCTCAGGAGCGAGCAGGGAGAGAAATGCAGCTGTTTTTAGGGGACTACCAAGAAACTAGTTTAAGATCACAAAAAAAATATCTTATTTAGTAAGAGCAATTGCAATTCCCAAACACCAGAAAGCTGGTGCTTCTGAGCACACTGGATTTCATCTCAAACATTTGTAGCTTTAAACTGCAAGATTGGCACGCAGTTGTAGAGCTAAAAAAAAAAAAGTCTTGTTATAGGTTTGTTTATAGAAAACTGTAGCATTAATTCACAGTGGACAAAATCAGTGTGATAGCAGTATCTACTTCTTTCAAGAGCACTATCAAGGGGAAGGGCAAATTAATGAAAAGCTCAGCTACTTATAAAGAACCTCAGACAAGAGAATAGGAATTTGTACAATATTCCCAACTCACACACTGGCTTTCATGCCTTTGAGTGATTAGAATAGATGATACAGCTCAGTACGTCTCTCTCTGGTACCTTTCATTTCTTTCAGCTTTGAAAACAGCCTTTCAAAGTTCTCCAGGTCACCATCTCTTGTGGTTAGGCTGGCTAACTCCTGAATGTCCATATCTAACATGGGATCTGAAATAAATGCATATAGGTTGGTTTAAGGTAAGTTATTCTGTTTTGTCAGCAGGTATGAAAGCCTTTCTGATAAAAACTGTATTTCAACATCTGCAAATCCCATCTGAAAATTCTGCCCTCCCTCCTCCCCTCCCCCAGGAAGGAAAGAAACATTTAATTTACTGATTGCTCATACGGACAACTCATGGCACGATTACAGTGGTAATTAATTTTGATACATTACATTGCAAGACTGGTTTTGAGTTCATCCAATACTTAAGGTTTCTTGCTTATTATAAAATGATCTGTCTATCTAGCCATGGAGTAAATTAAAGAATAATGAGACTATGCTTAGACCACAACTAACAACACCCAACCTTAGAAGATCTCCACACACAACTTGTAAGAAAGTCCCATCTCCTGGAATGGTGCAATTATTTAAGGACCTGTAGCTTAAAACACTTGAACCTCTTAGGACTGACACAAGGAGACTGTGCTTCTTTCAGCTCTTGTAGCGTCAAACTGTAATGATTTTTCTCCGCAACCATAAAGCTTGGAACTTTATTCTTATAAAGATGTTTCTATATATACACAATATACACAACATTCGCATCAGGAAATTTCACAAAATCAGATAATGTTTCCAGTTGGTAGTACTGCCAGGGCTCTGTCCTATCCAAACTTGGGCCCATTTTTTCAAGAAGAACACCTCAAGTTTAAACAATTGGCCTCTACTGGCTGTGGCAAACACATTTATGCCATACTTTTCATTGAGAAGAAGCCAGTGGCTTTCTGGAACCATCTCAGCCACGGGTGCCTGCTCCAACATATCTGCCAAGCAGAGAAAGCGCTTACCTACAATGTTGTCATTCTGTATGCTGTTTGTGCTAGCTCCATCTTCTCTGTTGTCTACATGGGATTCTTCTCTGTCTGCTGGTGATGGATTGGACTGGCAGGAAACAAACAGATACTAGAGTATCCAATAATGCACTTAAAAAGCATCATCAGCAAATCAGATGCTTCCTCTTTTGATTTCCAAAACTTACTGCAAAACCTGAACCACATGTATTATGAAAAGTATTTTGCAACACTGTAAATAGGTACTACATGAAGGTTTTCTATGACAGGTTTGTTGCTGTTTTTTAAATAACGCTATCCCGTGATAGTTTTCGCACAAAATACTGCTCTTGGATATTCATGAAAAACAACATCTTGAATGGAGCTTTTAATAATCTTTCCTTGGCTCCAGCGGTTTGTATGGGGTAAAACATTTACACAGTGCTGAAGTCAGTGTGATCAACACCCAACAGCTTTCCACACTGAGCACACAATCAGACATCTCCAGGTAAAATGATGAGTTCTAAGGCAATGTCCTGAAAAACTGCAAGCTTACAGCCATGAGGTGACAGCTCCTAGGAACAACTGTCTCAGGAGGACTTGTAAGAAAAATGCACAGAGTTTTTCAGACTTCAGAAATATTTCCTTTAAAATACATTCCAACAGGCTGTGAAGCATCCCTTGAGAAATGAGGAAAAAAAAGCAAGCCGCCACCCCACCAAGTGTGACAACAGGAAAGAGCAACACGAGAAACAGTATGAGCAAAGAACAGGAAATAGGAATTACTGTTTACTTCTGTATCTTGGTTCTCTTCTGACCCAATGCTACAGTTCGCACCTGCTAATGTACTGAGAAGACCAAAGCCCTGGGTCCTGTCTAAAAAGAAAACAGCCATTAGTTTGACAGAAGATGCAGTATTATTACAAATAGTTGTAACTGACCAGGTGGGATAGAGAATATTTCAGGGAAGACAGACAGCATCCTGTAAAACTGTGTCAGTGCACTTGAAAATATATTTTAAGCAGAAATTTTTCATATCCTTTAAGCTTTTTTTAAACTATATTAACAACATTTCCTGCTAAATATTACCAACAGGGAATAGATATAGACTAGAATAGAATAAGCCACAAGAGATGCAAGCTCTTCTTTCTTCTTAATTGAAGTCACTGCTCTGTTAGGATTTGGTCTGACAAATGTCTTCTGATTCCAAACAAGGCAGTTTTCAAAATATGGAAGCAGCATTTACTACTACTGACATTCAGTGGACCAGGTTTCACCGACCATGGAAAGCAGCACTGAGTTTGTGGTTAGATACAGGAAATGCAAATGCAACAATGTCTTTGCTTACATACATATTGTCTAAATAGGTTGAGCGCTGCAGTAATGGTAAAGGCAATTTTAAAATATCCAATTCAGAATTCATGGAAGGACCCAGCCATCAAATCCAATGTTTCTTCACACTGCAAGGTGCTCTGGACTTTCCACATCTGCTAACCTACTATGTATTTCAGTAGTATTTTAAAATCTAACCTAAAAAAAGCGCTAATTCAAACCTGAAACTAAACAATCATCTAAGATAATAGATGCAGTACAGTATTTTTAAATTAAACTATTTTAAAAATACAAATATATGCATAATAAGTGATACTATGTGGTGGGTTTTTTTCTAAGCCATGTTTTCAGCTGGCCTTGCATTAAGTAGTACATATTTGCAGTTACACAAGGGACTCAGGAGATTTTTCTGAAAATCTTAGTATTTTGGTCAACTAAAAAAGAAATAACATTAGGTTATTGTACTACAAATAGCCAGGAAACAGTGACTTGTGCCAGAAGAAAGGTTAATATTACTTTTTTAAAAAAAGTGTTCTAAATTATTACACTAATGACTAAGCTCTAGACTTAAATGTTGAGATGATGTAATTTTTATGCACTGTCCAAATTTACTTGCTATTTATACAAAATTTAATTTTGAAGAGTTGAATGTGTAACTAAAACCATCAGCTATCTAGAAAACATGTAAACATGTTTCCATTAGGGAATTACTAAGACCATTTCCTGTTTAATAATCTTCACTATGTACTTAGGCTAATGTGTGTCCTGTCCCAGTCCTCTTCTCCCCTTGTGCTCCCCCCCCAGCCCTGAGCAGGTATGTGTTTCAACTGGCTCTGTTTTTTTATACAGTTTTACTGCTTTAACAGATCACTTGCCAAAGGTTTGGGAAGAAGAAGTGAATCAGTCTAGCCAAATGAATTGCCTTAAAAATGTTCAGTTGCAAGATATGTGAAAGCCTGTGAAGCCCACCAGCTAAATTAACAGGCAATTGAGTGATAAAAGATTGGGACTTGCAACCCAAAACAAAGTAGCTTCCCCAAGTTTCAGCAGGCTGAGCAAAGTCAGTCTTTTGGGAAACTGTAAAGATGGACATTTAGCCAATTTCTGAGTCATCTGAAGCTAGATTGGACATTGCAGTCCAGAATGTACTTGAGAGAGAACATTCCCACATTGGCAGAGGGGTAGATGAAGTGATCTAATCATGTACCTCTTTCATATCTATGATTAGAGTTCATCCTGTACAGAAAAATGACAGTGGCTCCATCCCCACCACCACCACATACACATAACCTCAGCCAGCATAATTACAAAATGTTGTCACACTTACAAAGAACTGAACTCTACAGCAGGGATCTCTGAAAAGCAGCTGTTTGTTTCTGGCTCCGTGGGTAGGGAGGTGGCAGACAAAACACTTGGTTGCAGGCACACCCTTGAAAAAAAACCTTCCTATAAACTCTTTTTATTGGATGTAAAAGTTATTTCATTTTCTGGGTGCAATTCAGGAAGTGGGTGATGCCTTACACAATATTCTTACAGCATCAAAGACAAAAATTATCTCACTCAACTTATTGTAATAGTTGGTGGCTCCATTATGATGGAGTCTATATAGTTTCACAGGTGTCACTCATCAATAGTTGTAGAGCTGTAGTAGACTGTGCTCTGAGCATGGCTTCGAGATTTATATATGCTCATTTCATAGCAAAATGTTTTCCACTGTCTTTATCTACTATTCCTCCATAGTCTGTCTCTAGCTGACATGTGGTGATCCTGACTTCCATACAAAATTGGAATTAAAAAGTCAAAACACATGATTTGTTTAAATAACTAAGTTTAAATAGTCCCCCTAAATCAGGTTAATTTTTTGTAAAGAGAGCCAGGCTCATTACTGGCCCCAGCCTAGGTAACCCACTTCAGCTGGAGTCACTAAAGCACCTATTTAGGCAAGAAAGCAGCCAACTGGCCTTTTTTGGAGGGTAGTAAGTTCTTCTTGCCAACTGGGTCGACTAGCTTTGCTTTTGAAGGGACAGATAAGGACAACAGCAGTGCGCTACCCTTTGGAGGAGATGGGGGGGAAGATGTTAGCTGAAGTACTACTCATGCTTTTCTGCAGAAGGGAAAGAAAACCACCTGAGACTCAGATTGAAGAGAGCTCTGATGCCTGGAGCACCAACAACTTTATGCCAACTGCAAAACAAATTGCCCTCTGGAGACTCTGGGGTAAGACTGCCTGTTTTTCTTTTAGTAGAGACAATATTGCTTTACTTACTCACAAAGCATGTGGTGTTACTTGATATAAAAATGTTTATAATTAAACTATGTTATATTTAATATATATTTTTATGAATTGGTGTGAAAATGAATGTATTCAATGGCTAGAGAAAAAAATCAAAAGGTCAACAATCTTAATAGGTGTGTGAAAAAAAACTACTTCACAACTTAAAAAGAATTGTATTTGGGTTTAAGATAAAACACCTGAAGATAATACGGGTTTAATGCTTGCACTTGAAAAAAGTCATTCCTGCTCTGTGTGTAAACTTAAAATTCTCATACAAAGAGATAGCTGAAGTAAGGCAATGCTGTAACACTGGCTTTTGGGATGGCTACGCTTAACAGTGCTATAAGCATTTACTACTACACAAATACCTTATACTCTATGAAAAATCTTCACATGAAGTATGACTGTGGTTTCTAAATGGCCAGCAGTTATAGGTAATTCAGTAGAAAAACTAAAGTTTGATTTACATGGCAGCCAGTTTCCAGGATCAGGAGGAAGTTGAAAACAAAAGATACATTACAGGTTATAAAAAGTTTTATTTTAAGTAAAACAAGCTCAACAATTTCCCTTTGAAGGCATAGTCAGGCTATAACAACTTCCAAATATAGTTCACTTCCTGAGGAGTTTGTAGAGTTTGTAGCATCAATGCTGTGTGGTTTCTGTACTATCTCTGTGGAGATAGAAAATCTGGATTTTCAAGGAGTCTGACCTTTACAGAACACACTAATGATGCACAGGAATTTCCCCCCATGAAGAACTGAACATGTGACTAAGTTCTGTTCTGTAATGTGGCATATGTCAAATGCAGGAAGTAAGCTGCTAAGAAAAGTGGTTTAGCACTAGTGAGATAACTTTACACCATCTCAAATGGCTACGTATTTCTCTACAATGGTTGCATTAAGTTAGAACCCACCTTAACCTCATTCTGATGTGCCATAAGAAATACTCAAAAGGCTACATTAAAAAAAAGAAAAATATTATTGGTTTAGTAGTTCTCATCTTAGTTCTACTGAGTCCCAGTAACCATCTTGCAGTTATAGGAATTAGCAGAAGCCTCTCAGCACCTGAAATCATTACAAAGTTAAAAGATGTAGGAAGGAAGAAGCTTCAACAGTGGAAAATTGTACATCAGGGAGCAGATAGACACTGGAAGGTTGCTAGTGGGATGAAACTTTGTGAAACAAGAAGCACTCCACGAGTTTAATCTTCCTACGTTTCCTGCAACAGCTTGTGTTATTAGAAAGGTAATTAAAGGTTTTCAAGTAAATGGAAGTATCTACACTTGCAATAACTCTGGGCTAGCCACAGCATTTCCTTTTCTAATGAGTCTAATCCTAAAGTGATTCAGAGTGATCCAAAATTCTGGCTCTACCTGATAATCAATTATCTGCAGGAAATTATGTGGGGCTGACTGTTTTTTGTACTGTTTTCAAAAAATTCTGTGGTTTCCATGTACTCAAGTGGGGTTTTCTGTAGGAAAGACAGTCCTTCTTGCAATGCACTTAGTATGTCCTTCAACAGACATTTGAAATCCCTTTTTGCCAAATCTCATCTCCACGCTTGCTACTCTCATCCCTGTTTCAAAAAACTGTAACAAACTTGGAACTTAACACTTAATTCTTCTACACTAAACCATGCATCAGTTTTTAGACCAAGCTGATAATGACTAGCTATTTGCTACAGTTTGGTGGAACAAGCTTTCATTTTTCATTGAAATTTGAAGAGCTGGTGGAATATTTAACTCAAGTTATTGGTAGCAAGCAAGTCAAAGTACAGAAGGAACAGGAACAGATGCTGAAACCGGAATAAATCTCACCCACTGCCTGTAAGTTTCTCTGGGCATCAAGGGATAATGAAAGCAATACCTGAAAGCCTACTATTCCATGTAACAGGTTAAAGAGTGCTTTAGTTCTCTGTATACTGATGCACTGGCAGTAGCACTGTAGCTGCTCAGTTTAAACTTTTGCTGAAAATACTAAGCCTGCTAAGCCTTACATTCTCCAGAATTCATATAAGAGGAACCTGTGTTACATACCGCTCTTCATGACTACGTTGGACCACACATTGGCGTTCAAGGCTTGTACAATTCGTTTCACTCCAGTGGACTCCGGAAAATCATCTAAAGCAAAAGACAAAGGCATTGCACTCCTAACAATTAGACCAAAACCCATTACATGCCTGAAAGTAAGAACGTGTGTGAATGCCTGTCCTATCTTACAGAAATGGATATAAATGACTACTGTTGTTGGAAACACAGATTTCTTGCCTTTGCTTCATGAGAGGCCAAACAAATCTCAATTAATGCCTCAATTCTTGGTCTAGGCTTCCAGGTACTATGAACTGTGAGCTCTGAGCCTTTTGTAGAGATATCTAAATTCTGAGTGGGGTTTGTTAAGTATTTAGCATGAGGCCTACATTCTTAAGTAACATACAGGTAAATTTAATAGTAATAGACAATTTTTAAGTTGTTGTTAAAAGCCAGGCATCTTTTAGAATGCTGTATGGCATAAAAATAGATGCTAGAATTACTTTTTCTTCCTTTACTTTCTAAAGAACTTCAGACAACTGTTTAAAAAAGGTGTGATGCTTGTTAAAAGTAAAAACAATCATCGTAAAGCTATCTCCACAGCATCTAACTCCAAATGTTCCAGCAATCCTGGGAATTACAGTAACTTGAAAGACTAGGGAAAGCATTATTTGGACTTCAACTTATTTACTGAATAGATCTGACACCACTTTGTATAACATCAGTTTTCCCATTTCCTCAGTTTAGTCAGCTTCCCATTTTTGTGCATTTTGTGCTCACAAAGCAATGGGGCGGGGGGGAACCTTTGGATACAAAAATGTGATTGCTTAAAAAAATCAGACTTTTTTAGGATGACTCAGGGACAGGTGCAGTAATTGAAACTGCCTTTAAAAATTAATTTAAAGCTGTCTGTGACCCCTTAGATCAAATATTTTGCCCTCTATGACACTGCTGTTTGATTTTGTATCAGAGTCATTATTCAAAGTCTCAGTTTAGAGTTCTTGTCCTTAACTGCACAAACAACTGACTGACAGTGTAGTCATAGCAAGAGCTCCAGTTCATTTGTGATGAGCTGCCAGAAATGTCATAATTTTTAAACAGATATTGGCCCAGTATGTTTACTGCATCCATTTTATCTTTTGTAAGTAATTCATACAGTGTATTTACAGGGTAAATGTTACTTACTCACTGGAATACGTTTCCTCCTCATGAGTCACAGTGCATCAACTACCATATTAAAAATCCAGGAAAGACCATGTATCTTAATACTCCAAAGATTAACATCCTGAGTTGTTATTATTCCCATTACTTATATTATTTAAATAGCAAATAACTTGCTCTTTACAACAATTATTCAATAGAAAAAAACCAAAAAACTTGACTTAATGTTACTAGTATTTCCTTTTAAAGCACTTCATAAGAAAACTTTAGTCTAAGAGGTACCAACTTCCAATTTGTCTTGTTTCTATAAATCAGAAATGTATGTATTCCTTCCTCCCTGACTAACAAAGTGCCAAAAAGAAACTCATCTTTAAAAACACTGGGGGGGATGGGGTGGTTCTTAGTTACTCAAGATACAATTTTAATCCAGGTCTTTAAAGGGGGTGGGGAGGGAGGAACTTGAGTTCTAGCTTAGAAGACCTTTAGACTATTTTTGGTGACAGCTGTATACTTGGTGAACCTGAAATAGAGCAAATGTTAGTGACTAATTCCACTCAAGCCTGGAAATGGAGTCAGTTAGCTCATTTTAGCTCTATAGAGGTAAGATGTAAACACTTTTTTTGTCACTGAAATGAGGAGATAAGGCTGTCAGGAAATGCATAGTCACTTTTCAAGAGTGGAACATCACACTTCTGACTCTGCTTCATGGGTTTTATCATGTTATAAATGTATGGTGAGCCAGTGATTTTGAAACTGGTTTATTTCCTGTGTAACAGTGCATGCTATTCTAAAACGTTTTAAAAACCCAAAGAATTTTCCTGCCCTTCTGCATTTCTCTAGTTCATTTTTTTTAGATTTATTTCCAAAGTGGAATATAAATGCTTCTAATCTATCAATACAGTCTTAGGATTAGTGCCAGAAAAAGGAGCAGATATTTTTATGTAGGTGCTACATAAACAGCAGCTGTATTTGGGAAGAGACAAATGGAATTTCTTGGAGGAAGTAACCACCTCCTCCTGACCTTTTATAGCTGAGACTAAGCCTCACCAACTGAGAGTATTCCATGCTGTAATCATGTAGCACATAAAGTTATGCCCCTTGCAATTGTTTAGAAGATATTTTAGTGTGCTTTTTCATTCTAAAAATTAAAACGGAAGTAGCAGTCCTACCATCGTCATCAGGCAGTTCCTCAGGGCTAAGTTCTACCAGTTCAAAGCCATGCTTGATGCACCATTCTTGAGCTTTCTGTCTGTTAACACCTAAAGTTGGGAAACAAAAATGCATACTAAACATAGATATTTGAGACCAATACCAGCAGTTGATCTTTAGCTACACTTTATTCCCTCAAATTTGTTTGCTTATTCTGGACTGTATGGGGGCAAAGTATATAGTAGCTGGGGTGGGTCCTCCATTCACTTTGGATTTGATTCCAAAAACTGCAGAGTTAAACAAACTCCTCCTTTGAATCGTTTTTTTTTTTTTTAAATACCATAAAATCAAATGGCTTTCCAGTGGGTACTCAAAAGTAATTGTAAGTGAAGTGCCACAGTGAATGAAGACTTCTATTAACTCTAGGTTTGAATCTGAATGAAGTTACAGGGATGTGTGTTTACCTTACAGCTTGCTGTTGTATTGCATATACTAATCTAGAACTAAAGCAAACATGCATATTTAATGTCCACATGGTCAAAAAAATGCTTTCCACTGTAGTTAAGCAACCAACAATCATTGTCATTCTTCACCTGAGAGGATCAGGCACATCGAGTAATATGCATGCCTTTTTAGTTACCTTACAGGGCATGCTGGTATACTAGGAATGGGATACACAGAGCTCATTTGAAGCAAACATGTAAAATTCTGATTTGGTTTTAACCACAACTAGCTTAAGACTTCTGTTCCTGGTCACAAGAGTAACCTGACTCTTCTCAGTCAAATCTCAAGCCCAGTCTCACACAGGTATTTTGAAACAATTGTGTTGATTTAACTAGAAAATAAATCATTATGCAAGCTTAATAACTCTAAGTCAGTTTGGAACTTCTTTGGGTTTCATACCATTTTCAGATACTCTATTACAAACCAGGATCATGACTTCTGGTAACCACTCTTCTGTCAGAGGAAGCCATTCAGAGACACTATCAAGTCCAGATTTCTAAAGGTGGAAAAAAAATAAAGTTCTTTGGAATACATCCTCAAATACTTTAGTTTTTAAACTAGTTTTAAATCATTAGTAGTATTAAAACAAAAAGAATGAAGTGAGGAAATATGCTAGGCTGCATATCAAGTATGTTTAAGGTACTTCTGCTCTCATCAAAGAAGTTGACTTATACACAACTGCCTTCTGATTCTTGACTTACCTTACAGATGAGTTAATCCTACTGCCTTGGACCTCCCTTTCATGTTTAATATTAATTATGCAATCCTAGTGTAGATTAGTAAAGATTTTTATTTAAGGCTAATCATGAGTATTTCATTTTAAGCATATTTCAGGTTTAATGTGCAGTTACTCCATCTGCTACACTAAAGTGGATGTTATGAGAGCTGGTGGACTACTCCCATTGCTCTAGTTTATTCTGAGACAGCCCTGAGATGTCTGGTTAAAGGTATCTTTGCAGAATGTGTGCTACGTACCCTTTCCCATCTGTGGTGAAAAACAGTTCCTTATTTAGAATATTTTTTTTGTCTCAATCTTTCTGGCTTTTGCTAAAGCACTGTTTTCACTGCTGCCATCTTAGTAGAAACAATTTTGGGTAAAATGATTGATAGCACTGCATCTTATGTTTAGCTCCCTCAGTCTTGGCTATCCTAAAGCAGCCTTTCTGAACTAGCATAAGCTAGGAGTAAAGTTGAAGGTGGTGGGCTGGAGGAGGATTTGCCTAACTTAGTGACATATTTGCATCCTGAAAACCTCTCTTGCAGCTAGAGTATAATAGTAAAAGGGAAGGAAACTGCTTCCATTGTTAGCAGGCATAATTTAACATTGATCTACTGACAATTAATGGAACAGCCTAAAAGGAATGGATGGCACAAGATGAAGAGAATATAATTTGTGGTTATCACTGTGATAGGCAACTATATCATACAGATAAAGCACTATAATGAAGCAGAAAAGTCTTACTATTGTGCTGTCGAAGTACACAACAAATGCTTGCACGGATTCAGCAATATCTCCAGTAACAAGAAATGTGTTTGGTACTACACAGAGGTGAATATCTGCAGAATAATATTTATTATCTATTGTCCAGGGGTAAAAATTCACTCTTCCACTTGTAGTTGCACCCACAGTAAGGTCATCTTTTCCGGTGATACCTGTATAAAAGAAAATGAACGAGACAGATGATAAAACCAGCATCAAGAAAATAATTTGCCTAGAGAAACTTGGTACAATGCCAATACAGAGCCATCTTTACTTACTATAATAAAACGGTATATATTTAAGATCTTTAAAAATTCAAACTCAATTTGTTACTCTGTCCTAGAATTTATTATTTAGCTTTCAAAAGAATTTTGTTTCAAAAGAGTTTATTTTCTAGCTTTCAAAATAAAATATAGCACAGAAGCTCTTCAGAAAGCAAGCCTTTCTTCCTGGAAATGTCTTTTAAAGTGTTAGCCTCAAACTCACTACCTGTAAGCAGGATGTATGGAGAGAATACCTAGACTTTATTACAGCAGAAACAAACCTTGCGTGTGCATTCAGATGTAAAAAGTGTTTGACTGTGACCAAAACCTGAAGGTAAGTAATGAGAAAATAAACCAAGTTACTACAATTCAGTTGTAATTCCCATTAAATTCCATGTAGGAGTTCGACAATTAAAATCCAAGGCAGTGCTTTGCCCTTCGTGTGCTGGTAGCAACCTTCACAGGGCATACTCTCATAGCATGACAGCCACCTGGTGGAGTTGAATTACAGTTAGTAGCAGAGCATCCCATCTATATACCTCACTGGAAAGGGCAGGGTATCTTGTTCAAGCTGAACAAATTTAAGGACACTTTAAAACACAGGTCAATTATCTATAAAATTGACTGAGTCATCTAGAATTGCCTTGGACATCAGAAGAGTTAAAATACAGAAGAAATAAGGTATGTGTGTTTTCAAAGATCTTAAGGGTCATATTTTAAAAGTATTGAGACACAGCTCCTGGAGATGCTAGAACAGGCTGTTCCCCAAATAGTCTGTACATGAATTTGAAATTATGTGTATCTTATCAACAAAAAGGCAGGAAAAACTCATTGCGAAGGTTGCCATAGAAGGGTTCAATGATTTTTGCAACTGCAAAGTCTGAGAAATGTAACTGGTGAATGAGCATGGCATACAAGGCAGCACAGAGGAGAGCTCTAAACCAGAAGGATTATTTGAAGCAGTGAGGAGGAGGACACAGGGAATCTGAGGGAGAAATTTGACCTCAAACAGAAACCTGGGAGGGAATCTCCTGTATGTTTGTTGTTTTTTGTTTTTTTTTTTTTAAAAAAAGCCACATCTACATGTTTTTTCCAGGTTAAGGAAGTTTGACTTATTAATTTGGATGGCAATAGTTTTCAGAGTAATTGGTCTTCAGTCAGAAGCTATTCTGTGATAAGACTATCCATGTCACCTTGGGGCTGGGGGATGATGATACTGAGTCAATACCAAACAAACCTTGATTCTGAACTTTTTATTCTTAGAGCACTAACTTGTTCATATAAATGTGGAAGAGACTACCAATACAGCTAACCAAAATCATTAATCTTGAAAGATATCCATTCTTTCACAGCTTGTTTTATCACTCTTAAGCAGTACACACCAGTTCCAGTGGCACATGGAAGCTGTTTTTCCATGCTTATCTCATAAAAGCTTGTATACATGGATCTCTGCTTGCCCTGCAACACTTCATGGTAATGCTGCAGTCACTTTGCAACAGGTATCTCTATCCTATTTGCATTAGCTGATATTACACTCTCCTGACATGAAGCAAATGCCTATGTACCCATCTTCCAGGGAAACATGAAAATAGCTTTTCAGTTTTAAACCCAAGCTTTTCAATTTAGGCCACACAAATATATCAAGTCTACTCTTCCTCAAAAAAAAACCCCAAGTAATTAGTGAAACAGATCATCAAATGACAGTATGTCACTTTACAAAATCTATAATGTATGTATTCTATTGTAATAAAGGCATTTTGGCAGATGACTTTTTTTCTGCTATAAAACAGGTGCTATAAAAATGACTAGTTAAGTGCTATATGTGGTATAATTTAGTTTGGTATCTTTGGTAAACGGGACTATATTTAATATGAGCCAATTGCTACTAGACTAGGAGTTTCTTTTAAACGGATATTTGGGCCAACGGAGGTAGCTTTCACTGTGCTTGGATATAATGTGACAAAATTCCAGCAACTGGGAGAGGAAACAGGTTAGGCAGACAATGTCACTGTGCATGTCCAAAACACAGTGATGCTTTTTCTTTCCAGAATTATCTGTTGCCTAGCTTTCCAAATGCAGCTGTAATCTTAATTTTCTGCCCTGGAAACCAGATGTTGTTTGGAAGCTTTGAATACTACATAAAATATGCTGTAAATTTCCCTTCACTAGTGTTTTGACAGTTAAAAATAACTAAAAAATCAGTTCTAAGCTAGCAGAATTGTAAGGCAATGCCACAAGAAGCTAAGAATAAAGGAGGCTATAAAAATCATTGAAACCCAGAAAATCAGCAATAAGGCTTAGAAAGCCAAAGGGAGGAAAACAGGGTGAGGAAAGGAAGTCAGTTCAAAAGTCACTTAAGTGAAGTTAGCCACCCTAGCAAGAATACAAAAGGAAAGAACTTCTTATAAAAGATTTTCAAAAGCTGATATGAAAGAACTTTCACATTTGCTTTGTAAGTGATTTTTTTTTTTCTTACAAAAGAGTTCATGGACAAATTTAGGCCTCAAAGCACTGCTAGAAGAATGAGGACGTGTCCCATTTCCTATTACATGCTACTTGTTCCTGTATTTTAAGCAGTTGTCTTTCATCCCATTGTACTTCTGATTACCCATCATTCATCCACAGAGATTTTGCCAATCCCCTGTGAAATTTCTCTCCCAGTAAAAATGGATGTTGCACACTAAACTCAAAGGACTGCAGGAACTTTCTGAAAGGATTCAGACTTGCTATGTCTCAGCCTGCATGTAGGGTTGTAAAAAATTACTGCAAAACAGCCTGATTGCTCATAGCAGGAAACAAAATGCAGTTTGGATATCTTCTGAATAGTCCTCTTCCACAGGAGTCACTTAGACCACCAATTAGGTTTTGGCCTTTAAACAAGCAGATACTACAAAAAAAATATACACTGCAACTCAAACTGAGCTGTCAAAGATATATTCCATTTTGGAACTAGTTTTAAGGATTACATTTGTTACCTCCAGATTCCAGGAATTTCTTACCAAGATGGCCTATATTTTAATGAAAAAGTAAATTTGCCTTTAATAGTTTCGTATCTAATTTTAGAGAATATTAATCAGAATAAACCCCATTAAGTTTTATTTGGCTATGGAATAAACTTCTAGAAAACTAATACAACAAAAGGAGGTGGCTTGTCAAACTTATCTCTAGTGAGTTACTCATTTTTAATTTTAAACTCCCTAGCCATTGAAAGTGTCTGTGGTTTGCCATCCAAAGAGCCTGGAAAACCAACTGAGTCACTCTTTGACCACAACAGTAGGCAGGCCTACTGGGCTGACTTAATTAGCTTGCCTTTTCACAGAGCAGAAGTGGCTTGTTTGGATGACAGGAATGCAAACAGACTCCAAATGCATCACCATTAAAGACTACTAAAAACATACATGGAAAAGTTCATGCCACAAAAGAATATTGCTTAGTGTCATTCAAAAACATGATTTAGAGTTCAAGGTCCTCTAAGAAATACTGCAACTACTAATGCTGAACACTTATTTTACTGAAATAACTTTTACAATCTTACCAATAACTGCTGAATACTAATTAAGACAATGTATTTCAGTGCCCCACACTTCTGTGTAAAAGCACTTTGGAGCAATAGAAGCTTCTTAATCTACAGTGAATTATTTGAGGCTAGGGACCAAACAGACCATTTCTAAGCCAACTGCAGTATCATCCTCAGGTTATTACCTTCTGCATACGTGGGCAGTATTCACCTATGTGACCTCCAAACCCTTGTACTAATGCCCACCTATGCTAAGATCACCACATTTGTTGGACATGGACAATTCCCTTCCTCCAGTTTATCCCAGTTCATGACTCACTTTGCCTGCTTTCTATCAGAAAACCATTTAAGAACAGAACAGCAACTGAGACATGAGATCAGTTCATGGCTCGCTCAATCCAGTAACTGAGAGTGACTGGTATCACATAGCTCAGTGAAATTCCAAACTTCTGTGGAATCTGTCCACAGGAAAAGGTTTTTTTTACTTTCAGGCAGTCAGTCAGTAGCTTATGTTTTTCAGCAAATTCATTAGTTGTGTCTGTCCTTTACTCAGAAGTCTATAATTCTTAATAAATTGGACAAAATTCTGACCAATACTTTTGGAAATGAATTTGTTATCTATTTACATAAATGTTTGCTCATTTTACTGATTTGGACTTGTTGACTTTTAATTTCATGAGCCTGCATATAGACAAGGTAAATTAAACAATGGTTCAGAAGACAAGGAAGATGACACAAAATTGTAAAATCTAACATCCACTCCCTTTTTCCAATACAGAGGCTTAGTAAGTATTCCATAAGTGCAAGGCAGCAAATAGTTTTTCAAAAGGAGAACTGGAGACCAGAAATAACTTTTCTGAAAAGAGCTGAATAATAATCAAAGAACAAGATGTAGATCTCTTGCTGCTTGCAGCAGTGTTCTCAGCTATCTAATACCTAACTGATATTTAAGCACTTCTGCTGCAGAGTGTGTTTAATACTAATGTTTTTTTTCAGAGTCATTACAACTCCTCTTTGCAGGTTTTTTTTTTTCCCCAAAGGGATTAAGGTATTGATCACTCTTCGTAGTGTTTTTCAAATTGAATACAAGCTGTAAGAACATAATTCAGTCTTCTGCAATGCCCTGAATGATCCCAAGTCCTCTTAGTTGGTAGGTGCACCAAGTAGTTCTCACATTCTGGGCCTTGAGAGCCACCTGGTGGAATACACCATAAAAAATACTCCTGCAAATTGCACAAGGAGTAAAAAGAACTCAAATATGCTGGGGGGAGGAGGGGAGGGGTAAACAGTCAAAAAAGAAGAAAAAAAAACAAAAAAAATTGTATCAGACAGTATCTATCTGTTGGCCAGCATTTTAAAAAACTAAATCTTATTTGCCATTTTAATTTAAGAGAAGAGCCATTCCTATTCTGTGCATTTTAAATAGCTTTATTTTGCCACAGTATCTAATGAAATAAAGCATTCAGGGTATCCCACAGAAACTTGAAAGAATAAAAATATACCTAGCAAATGTACCATAATATTCTTCTCATCCTCAAGCCATTTCCTACTTAACAGGATGAAAATGCTGGAAAAAGCCTGGTAATTAGCGTGGAAAGTTCTGGCTGGCAGCAGGAGAAATAGGTTCTAGTACACCTCCTGACAGTGAATGCTGTAAGTGGCTTCTTTCTACTTATAAAACGGATTTGCCTACAAAGAGCATGTACAGGGAAATCTAGCAACACAGCGGCAAAAGCAGTGATAATAGCAATAAGGGCTTTGTTTCATGTTTCTGTTATAGGCTCAAAACCCAACTGCTCTATGGATCCTACCAACTTACACAATATTTAATAGCACATTGTTACCATACATATTGTATCTCAGACACTGTACTGCCTCAGAGGTGTTAATATAATGCTCTTGTTCTCAGCATTGAGCTAAACCATTATCAAATAATGCCTTTAATCTGGTGTGACACTTTCATGCTGTAACAGCTCAAATTCTGAGAATTGCACCAGCATTTTGTTTCAACCCACCAAGACCCTTCATCCCAGCCTACTGTAGCCAGCCACTAGCTGCCCTGTCCTTATTGGTACATCCTTGAATGTTTTACAATGTTTGTTCTGCTTATGCTTCTGGATCTGATGTACTTGTTATACAAAGCAGGAATTTAAAATTCTCATGGTATTTATTTTAGTAAATGATCATGTTTCTTTCAGGAATGTCTTTTAATTTTAATGTCTTTTCTGAAGCAACCCAATCAGAGGATACAGAGACTATAAGACTCCAGTTTTGATACTGGAAAACAGTGGAAGCCTCGACATTTCAAAGTAAGTACTATTTAAAAAAAAAGACAAAAAAAAGTGAAGTAAAGTTTTAAGACTTTCTCAGATTAAACAGCATTTCTATGAAGCCTTTTGCTCGCCTTTCTTGTTTAATTTCACTATGAAAAATATTCAAGGTTCCTGTAGATTTCCTTTGATTAATTCCTTCTAATTTGCTTATATCTTCCTCAAAAATAAGCAACAACCAACACTAATATTCTTTGGTATGGAATCTTTAAATAATTCAATATCAACCCAGCTGCTTTGACAGAGTAGCCTTTGAGGGCAGACCTTGTGCTGTTGTTCTTGCTTCAAAATGTGGTTTAATGACATGGAGTGAGCCAGTCCCTGGGGGCAGCCCTCTGCTTTATGAGGTCCTAAGTAAGATCTTAAAGAGATGAAAACAAATCCAGGGAAGGGGGTGGGGGTGTTGATAAGTTATACATTTTAGTGTGCACATCAAACTGTTCATGACAGTTCCCTGAAAAGCAAGGTTGTACTAACAAGTTGTAATGGCAAAACCACCAAGATCTAAACAGCTTCTTCCTGGAATCCCCCTGATTTTAGAATTACTAAAACTTCCACCAAAGTTTTCTCTGCTATCAGGTCTCACTCTCATGCTCCCTTTTCTAAGCCACAAAAAGGGGAACTGTGTTCCAAAAAACCAACTTCCTACAGAATGAATTCTATGTATTTGATATGAAGTAAGTATAATCTACAATTCTGACAACTGCAGAAAGGAAGAACCTTTTAGTTTTCCCTTTTTTGTGCTTCTGCATTGAGACAACGAATGGTCTAATGTCTGAAAGCAAGCTTAAGTAAAGCAAGAGCTTAGACCCACCAGGAATTTCAGAAATTCTACCATTCTTAAGGTCCAAGATAGTCAGTTCACTTCATAAATGGAAAGAAGAAACCAGAGGGACAGCATTTACTCTGCTTTTGTTTTCCCCTTGCCTACACTCCTGAGCTGCTCTGGTGTCCCCCCTCTTGTTCTAGGGGCTATCTGGGCCACTGACATGTCCCAGTAAAAGAAGATCATTTTTGTAATCTGTGTGAATGACCAGAATGGCCAGCAGCAAACCTTATGGTCTCATGAATCTGTTCTTCATTGATTGTTGAACAAAGTATTATTTTTTTTATTCAGTCTCAAGGCAATTCTCAAATTATTTTGTCCAGGTATAACGACAGTTTATTCACACTTAAGACACGGCAAGTGGCCAGCGGGTAACAAAGCATTTTAGGATGTGAGGCTTCCTTTCTTTCCTGTGGGTTGTGGTGGTGAATATCGCCTGCTCCTCAGTGTCAGAGAGTACAAATCCCAACCGGTGGCTCTACACCGGCTCCCTGACACAGCTTATTTCCCTAAAGCAGTAAAGGAGGCCCCTGATGCCCTCCCCAAGGCCAGGTGGTTAAACGCCACAGGCCCGGGGGCAGGCAGGGAGCCGGCTGGCCGCCCTGGCAGGGCTCGGCCGCTCTGGGGACGGTGCGTGAGGGGAGGACAGCCACCCCTCGGGGCTCCCCCTGAGGGCCCGGGCTGGGGGTGAGGAGCTGCCAGGCCGAGGCCTGCAGCTGCGGGCAGGCCGGGGCCCCGCGGCTGCGTCCGTCCGGGCCCCGCAGCGCGCCGCGGCGACGACTCACGTTTGACGAGTTCTTCGGCCGCGAAGCCGGCGGCGCAGCTGGTCACCAGCGCGAAGGGCCCC